TTCAACTGAGAGAGTTTCGTAAAATACGCAACGAACTGGAAATGCACCGACGCTGTGGCCGCAGCAGTCTCAGCCAGCACGATCCTACCAACAGCGCCTTCAGTCGCATAGGATGTCACCTTTGAAGGGGCGTCCAGAGAAAAGACTTTTCATCAATATAATCAAAATTTTTCAATATGATCGTATGAAATTTGTAAATTGTACAACGTTTATCAAAGATAAAGGTCAGAGATATTTGACCCACAAAGGATCCATCGTGGACCTGTTGGTCCAATGTGGCGAGACGCAAGTTATCTCGTGTATGGTGTAAAGACTGTGGCATTAATAACCGCGTGAACTTAGGTTCCAATTGTTTTATATCAAATTGCTCAATCTTTTTCATCTCCAAACTTTTTTCCTTGCATTTATATGTTTGAACTACTAACAATTTGAACTTCTATGTGCAGTGTTACAATATACTTTCTTCCAAAAATGTTTTGCTGGAATGCCACGTGTATATTTCCCTTATTGATTATCACTAAATTATTTCTTGCTCTTAAATCTGGCCCTTTCTGAATATAGAAACGAACCACAATTCATGCTCAAACCACAGCCAACAACAATAGTGGATTTACAATCACAATAACGTTATTTAAAAATGTATCATTTAGTACACGATAACGCCGAATATGTCTTGGCTAACAACAGTTTAAAGTCATCTGCTACTATATACTGTAATGACCTAGCACCACCACCACCAGTTGTTTGAAATCATCGTTTCCTAGACAATGACACAAGTTATACCTTAGAACCATTACCAACAGTCAGTACACCATGCCGCAGGTTATACCGTACGTAGCACCATTACCAAGTCAGTATACACGATAACGTATGTCATACCGGAGCTCCACCACCAGCAGTTAGTGCACCAAGACGCAGATTACACCGTAGCACCACATTACCAACAGTCAGTACACAATGACACAAGTTAGTGCAAGATGTACACGATGACACATCGTCAGTACACGATGACACATCGTCAGTACACGATGCCACAACACCCAAATCATTACTTAGCCTAACTAAGCACCAGGCGTTCAACAGCCCCTCTAAGCCCCGTCCGACAGCGTCTCAGTCTGCGCATGAAGAGCTTCTCGCTGGACAGCCCCGACTCTTCCCTCCAGGAAGGGCCGCGTCCTCCCGCCACGGTGCTCACGCGCTGCTCATCGCTCGGCATACGATATTGTAAACAAACATTGCACCTTCAGCCATCACTTTGTTCACATACGTTTCACTGTAACCAGTTGTGTACAAACGCCCTCTCTATATGTGCGTTGTGGACCAACGCTCGTCACGCACCAGCACATGTTGTTCACTGCAGCCGGGCGTTGACGGTGTAAGGTTGCACAAGCAGTCTCGGCCCCACGGTCATGTTATCTATCATTATCCAATTTATCTATCATTATAATTATAGTGATGAGTAAATGCCATCATTAACTTCCATTGTGACATACATGCCGTTAATTAGCGCCTAGTAATGCGTTAGAATGAGTCATTTGCAGCAAAAAAAAAAAATCATGAAGCGCATCGGTTCATTTCTTTAACTTAATAATCAAGTGAAGTTTTTTTTATAAATTTTTATATAAGCCGGAAACCAAACCTGAACGTCATCTGCACAGACTGGAGGGCTGAGGCTGCTTGGTCAAGCAAAGATATCTTCATTATTGCAAAATACTAGAAGACTTCTGGTCGTAAGATCACATGTGATCGCTTCTGTATTAATAAACTCTTCACGTTGTTTAAAATGTACCGATTAACGGCATGCACTACATATACCGTCTATGTCGTACAGAAAATAAACAGATAGCATCTTGAGTAAAAAACACCAGCACCAACGGTAAAGCCCTCTATACTCCAGGACTGTTGAAGTGTTGTATAGTGTATGCTTTCGCGTGTAAATAAGCGTATAATTGACGAATGACAATTACTTCTGCCGCGCCTGAAGAGAAAATTTCACTTGTATAACCCAGTTGAGTGTGCATATATTGAAGTATTGATACGCTGTATAGTAAAGTCGATGTTCTAGTTCATAATGCAGTTGCTCTGCCATGATTCTCGCTTCATGTAAATCGTCTTTGTAGTATAAATATTCTAAGTGCTCCAGATAGGTTTAATCAATGAGCTTTTCGGTGTCTTGAGTGCTATTTTTATGTTTCTCTATGTATCAATGTTTTTAATTTTTTAATTTCAGCTGACAGACTTTTAATGTGTCAGCATGGATGTGTGGCAACAGTAGCAACTGCTGGTAGAGGTTCTGGATTTTAGCGACCATCGGGAAAATGCTATTTTTATCCGAAGTCGACGCTCGAAGAATTTAGGCTATTATTTATTTATGTATAAAGTATTGAACTTTGTACTACCAACTCTCAAGTAGTCGAAGCTTCAATTATCGTGAGAATTTATGTGCAGTAAGAACATAAAGTTCTAGATGAGCCTCTCTGATGAAAATGTCTGCGGTTGCCAGCTACGTGACGAAAATACGGCAAACTCTTTTGCAACCATAACCGGTCTTGATAAAATGACCTCTGAAACAAATAATGACTACAATATAACTTTGAATTATTTAATTTTCCTTCCTAAACACAACTTTGATATCTTCAACGATAAAATAAATTGTAGATAGGTGTTGGTCATGATAGTGAGCCAATCTAGTTCAAGCTATAACCTCCGATGTTCACAATGAAGATGAGTTTTTTATAAATATAACCTTAAACTTTTCATATCACCCTGCATATGTACTATAAAATAAATTAATTTTAGTGATGATACTTTATCCCTCATAAACTACCGTTAACATATTTTTCATCACTACTAAAATTTTATTTAGTCATCAATCGTTTTATATAGTAATGCCATCAATCGTTTACTTATAGTAATGCCTAACTGGAATGTAATTTTTGTAATTTCATAACAATGTGCACCTAATTCACCCATGAAAATGTATGATAATACCTCGTTGACCTTCCCTTAGCGTCATCATAGTCTTCCTATTGAAATCCCGAACGTTTGAGGCTCGTAGCAAATAGCAATCCTGGTGTCTGTGAGTCGTGATGTCGGACTGGGGAACTGATACAGTGCCTGCTTCACCGCGCTCGATAATGGGAAGTTATAAGAAATCGCTACTAAGATGACACTAGAGTTGCTTACTTGGCATAGGATTTATTATTTTGTAGTAGTAAAGAACCTCCCAACTTCGCCGTATGCAGTGGATAATCTCATAAGTTGTACCATCTGGTGTGCGAATCGATAGCGAAATGCAGCTCTGACTCTCAACGTTTGCGTGCTATCATAACTAATGAATATTGATACTTCGACTGTTATCATAACTAATGTTGGAGAGACAAAGTGTCTCTTTACTTGAACAAACCTGTCTATGTTCCTCGAATCCATCACTACTTCTACTCCGAGTGTAGCGCCATATTCGAATATGGAGCCGATAAGTGGGTTGGCCATTGGCCATTTTTAGCAGCCTGTGATTTTTTATCAGGTTAGCGATAACATAGGAAGCCGCAACTTCTGAGGTCGTTGTGAGAACAGTTTGAACCGTACTTGATGAAGTCGGTAGGTAAATATTTGAGTACACATGTTTTTGTAGCCTAAGGTGACTTAGTTGGATCAAAGGCCATAATAGGCTATGGACCTATTTCTTCAGTGCCGACACTTCTATTCTACTCTATTCTAAGGATAACCGAGTCCATATCTGGTCTCGTCTCACGAAGGATGCTTGCTGTTCGCCTACACCTTCAGCCCTGCTCTTGGTGGATTTTTGGCTTCAGCCTCGTCATAATCAAACTCCAGCGCTCTGGTGACCCCACTCAAGCTTTATAGTGGTCAAAATTAGGCATTATGCTGATCATCGAATTACAGTGTTCTGCTGATTCAACTCCAGTATTCTGGTGATCAAACTCTAGCGTTCTGGTGATCTATTCCAGTGTTCTGGTGATCAAACTTCAGCTTTCTGGTGATTCAATTCCAGTGTTCTGGTGGTTCAACTCAAGCGAGCTGATGCTCAACATTCTTTCAGAATAAAATTAGCTAAAGATTTAAAAGCAAAGAAAACTCTAAAACATTCACAATATCGCTATTAAAAACGTTTCGGGAACAGTGAAAATTTTTTCGAACTGACGATTGAGGTGGACTTCGCAACGTTTTCAACAGAGATATGTTGAATTTTTGTGGAGATTTTTTCGCTTTTAAATTTTTAGTGAATTTGAGATTCAAGCAATCGAGAAATATTATAATTAAGCTAGCTTGTAGAAGGTTAAAAAACACTCGAGAATCTTATCGTGGCCTCCCGTGAAGACGTAGCAAATTTTCACTTCTATCAATTATTTTCCTCTAAATCTAAGCTCAAAAATCTAAGCCAAAACTCAAAGCTCCATAACTCTGAGCTCGTTAACCTTATTTAATATCATTCCTGACGGGCTCATTATGAAGCAGGATTGGGCAGCTCTTCATGCCTGACACCGGATCAAAGTCGCAACAAACGAGATGCGGTTGTTTTGTTGAACTTTAAAACATGTTAAATCCCTATGACCTGAGTCAGGTATTGTGGGTACAATAATTGCGCTACGAATTTGTTAAACGTGACCGTAAAGCAGGTCAAGGGTTGTAGACACGATAAACCAAAACAGACTCGTTTGCAGCCTTACTCGGATCGATAACTAAAGAGCAGCACTGAAGGAAGAGCGAGGACAAGCAGATTTGTTGCTGTTAGTTTTCGTGTGAATATCGCTGTTGTTTGCGTATGTATAGCGTTGTTGTTGTTTGTGTTGTCTTTTTTGCATTGCTTTCTCTTCGCAGAGCTCCGTGGGAGCCTCAGTTCCTTCTTCAGAAGACCCAAACCATCCTCTTGTCTGTGTCCACGCCTGCACAGCTACACTGGTACTCTTACTATACTCTTACCACTATTTTACTTTTTGCTTTATTCATACTGTATATTTCATTCCTAATTTTTCTACATGATTTTAAGTGCTAATTAAATTATTTTATTTCCACTATAATGCTCCTATCACTCATCTTTTAATACTACGCGTCCCATGATTCATTTCTGTTGTAGCTGATTTTTCGCCTGGAATCCAACTACACTTCGGCCATTCATCATTTTACTGACAACTCATACTCATTATATCGTGTTCATTCACCGCGCGCTGCTATACAACAAAATACTAACATTAACTGCTTGATGTCAAATATTGAATTTTTATTCTGAAATCTCCTGGCATTTCATTATTATTGATCATATCGACGATTATAAGCTTCACCCATATTTAAATCCCACTCACGCTATTGCTATTACCCACTTACTCCATTACATTTACTCTCTCACGCTATTATATTTCTCCACGCACGCTATTACATTTTATCATTCACGCTATTACATTTCCTCACTCACGCATTTACATTTCCTAACTCACGCTATTAAATTCCCCCACTCATCCTATTACATTTTCTCATTCACGCTCCCACATTTACCCACTCACGGTATTGCATTTCCCCATTCATGCTATTACATTTCCTCTCTCACTGTGTTACATTTCCTCACTCACGGTATTGCATTTCTTCATTCACGCTATTACATTTCCTCACTCACGGTATTGCATTTCCTCATTCACGCTATTATATTTCCTCTCTCACTGTATTACATTTCCCCATTTACACTCTCACATTTACCCACTCACTGCATTGAGTTACTCCACTCACTGTATTGCATTTCCCCACTCACGCTCCTGCACTTCCCATCCGCTACCGTGTCTCCTCACTCCCACTATTGCATTCCCCCTCTACCGCTTTCCCCACCGCAGGCAGCGGGGAAGAGGTTGACATAATATACAAGGTGCTGAAGCAGGCGGGGGACCTGGGGGGGCGGCGCAGTGCCTATGGGTCCATAGAGCGCGAGTTGGGGGGCTATAGAGAACCAGTGGTCGACCGTCCCTCTGGAGGGAGTTATAGGGAGCTACCCTCAGTGGGAAGCTATAGGGAACTTCCTTCTGCTGGTAACTTTAGGGAACTTCCCTCTGAAGGGAGCTTTAGAGGGAGCAGCAGCGCCATGTCCCTGCAGCGACACTTGTCCCAGCAATCCCCGTACTTGTCTGGTCCTCCTTACCCCTCCCATTCATCCCACCACCTCCCACCTCCCCACCACGCACCACCACCATCCCATCTCCCGCCACCTGCCCATCCCCCATCACACCTGCAGCACCACCGCTTCCATCGCGCCCCTTCCGCCGCCGCCAACCTAAGCGTCGCCCAGGGGCCACCCGCGTCGTCGTCAGGTGAGATCCGCTCGTGTGGGCAGTTGTGTCAGGGGTGACAACTTTGTGTCAGGGNCAGGAGGAAGGATAAGGCAGACATCACTGGAACGGCACATCGAAAGCGTAAAACTAAAATAAAACTAAAAATTACGGAGCTCGTGTGAATAGAAAAGGCCACTGAAAGGAAAAAAAAGTAGAAGGAATGATGAATTTTACGTGAAAACTAAAATACCTGTCTCTTATACACATCTTATTGTTTGTGAGGGATCAATGCTTGTGAGGGGTCGCTAAATAAAAAGGCTCACTACATATGAAGGTTCACGAGGGTTCACTGAGCCCTCGGCTGCCGTGCCCCGGGTTTTGATCGACCCTCTTAAGATTTTATTTCTGCCGAAGTCTTCGATTTGTAGGCACCAACATCGACCGTCTCTTCAGGAGCCCCGCCCTCTCTGTGTCTTGCAAGCTTCCGGTGTGTCAGGTTATCTTAAGAAAACACTTCGTAAATCTGCATCTGTTCTATAAATCAGTTCTCACTGGAGAATTCGGGATCTATTTCTTTATGTTCTGTTCTTACCAGAAGATTCGCTATCTATTTTATGATCTGTTTTCGCTCGAAAATTAGGGATCTATTTTGTTATCGGTTCTCAACAGAAGATTCGGGATGTTCTTTATGTTCTGTTCTCTCTGGAAAATACAGCATATATTTCAGGTTATTATCATTTAGTATACTCACCTGATTGATGAACGATACCATGTTCATTCAGCCAGTTTATTCTATTCGTTCTTGCTATACATGCAATTTATAAAATATATATGCAATTTATATACATGCAATTTATAAAATGCAAGGAAAGCCTAATTTAAGAGTTTAATCCATTCCGTTTGCTCAACTCTCTATCACACTATTGATCTACTCTACCACGTACATTTAATTTATAAATTAAATAGATAAATAAAATAGATAAATTTTTCCCGCGTTGAAAATTTCTGTCATTTTGCCATTTCATCGAGTAATTCCAATAATGGTTGTTTCAATACTTGGAGGCTAAATTACTTCAGCTGGAACTTTTTGCTTCCAAGGATTAGACTTTTCGCAGAGAATTTCGTTTCCGTATTCTGGCGCCAGCAGTCTGACTTCTACGTACTGCATGGGTTATAAATAATTACTTAGTCAAGTTTCTGTGCTCTGTCTAAAAATGCGCAATTATGCAGCATGAAAGTTTTGTTGCAACAAAAATTTTAGTGTAACATTGCTACCAACAAAGATCGAGGTATTTTTTAACCACTCTTTGAGACTATCAATATCTTTCCATCAAATTGTTATGAAATGGGAGTGGCATGTCATTGAACGGTGGAAAATGCGAAGTATTATAATTATTTCTAGTTGTATTAAAAACACCGACATGCACTACCAAACATTGTATCAGTTGTGCTGATGTGCAGTTTAAACATGTCCGTGTAGATCTGATTTATCTATTCCAGCTATTCTCCGCTCTGAGATTTCATTGAACTGTCGAGTTACGAATTCGAACGCATTTGCTGTCTAAATAATAATGAATCTGAACAGGCGCTGTTTAATAAAGTCGTAAATATTATCGCATTAATTGTCTCGACCCGCAAAGCGTATGCAGATTTAATATGCATATTAATTATTCAAGCATGAATAAAATTATTCACAGCAATCCAACCTTTCTATTACTTGCGGCTTTTCGAATATATATATCTAAATTTATTTCTTATATTGAATATAAATTTCTTATATTTCTTATTCTTATCATTATATTTTCACTGGTAAATATATTTCTTAGAATCTTCAGTGTCCAGTGATTCCAGTGTCTTGTGATTCCAGCGTCTTGTGAATCCAGTATACAATGATCCCATGTGTCCGTTTTAAACGCGAATGAAGATCGATAAATGGGCCGTCCAGGATGAATGCTTGGAAACCGTTCATTCACGAAAAATAAATGTTCACGACTTGAAGCGAAAGTCAAATTTCAAATGATGCACAATCGGCGATCATTCAGAGCAATCTTTTCTGCCCCCCCAGCCATGATAATCTTTGAGAGCAACGAAATCTTCGTCAACCTTTGCAGATCACAGTTTCGCCGACCTCCTCCCATGTTGTCTCGTCACGCTTTTTGGACCAATTGGATCTATGGACCAAACCAAATTATTTCAATGGACCAATTTAATCACGGACCAATGGACCAATTTATATCAATTTGATCGCATAAATTGGATCTTTGCAGATCACAGTTTCGCCGACCTACTCCCATGTTGTCTCGTCACGATTTTTGGACCAATTGGATCTATAGACCAAACCAAATTATTTCAATGGACCAATTTAATCACGGACCAATGGACCAATTTATATCAATTTGATCGCATAAATTGGATCTATGTAGATCAAAGTTTCGCTGAACTTTTGCCACGACAAGATCTTTCTCAGGGCCGCAGTTTCCGACGCTCAATTACCATCCAGAATTTCTTACGAGGCTCCTCACGGCCCCAATTTGATAGTTTTTCCGGCCCCATGGGGCGATTTATAACGCCAGTGGCCCCGTCCTCGTGAGGGCCAATTAATGGCAACACTTGAGGCCTCATAAAACAGGCCCTTCACTCCCTCTTCCCCGTGAGGTGGGGAGACCTCATAAAATTCTTCTTGGGAGGATGACATGGAAATTTAGCAAGAGCTCCTAAGTGTAGTAATTTCCTCTATGTGTGGAAATACCGTGATTTCCGATTGGAGTAAAAATTGTGGCCTTTGTCGCTGTGGTTTCATCGTTGCTTTTTCTTGTTTCTTTAGGAAAGATTGAGTAGACAACCTCCTAGAATGTAGAGCACAGAGAGCGAAAGTTGCAACAATATATACATGCTGCAAAGCATGTCAGTTACAGGGATGCGAGTGCACGATATGAGCCCAAAAAAGAAAGCGCTTCGCCCATAGAAAACATATGCAAAAAGATGGAAAGTCGGAGTAGCATTTATAAAAAATTATATAAATAAAAATTAATAAATTAATAAAATAAAAATTATATAAATAAAATTATATATAAAAGTTATAAAAAATATAACTCAGTGAGTGACAGAGAGCGCATTTTCTCGTCCGTACGTCCGCGAAGTCACGGACAGACAGACGGATATGACGTGCACAATAGCGCCTTTTTACATGAGAAAATGCGCTAAAAAGGATGAATGAGGCAAGAAAGAGAATGGGAAAGGAGTTGAAGTGTAAACAGACATTCACGAGAAGAATGGAAAACAAAATGAGACTATCGTCAGAACAAAGATAAGCGGAAAGCAAATAAAAATAATTTGGAAATATTATGGTGCTCCCATAAGAAAAAGGCAGCATAGCAAGAACAGGAGGAAGGATAAGGCAGACATCACTGGAACGGCACATCGAAAGCGTAAAACTAAAATAAAACTAAAAATTACGGAGCTCGTGTGAATAGAAAAGGCCACTGAAAGGAAAAAAAAGTAGAAGGAATGATGAATTTTACGTGAAAACTAAAATACGCAAAAAGACAAAATGTGAAAGATTGAAGCTCTAGTGACAACACAGATCCGCAAAAAAAATTAAAAAGGATACATCGTGACAAGGCGCTCAAAGAAAGTAAAAGGATATAATGATACAAGGATACAATGATACAATGATACACAAGTTAAAGGATACACGGATACAATGAAACAAGGATACAATACACAGGAAGCTGACAAGAAACTGGGAGGGGTTGGGAAACGAAAGCATAGATCACGTCTCCCCACTAGGGAATTCTCCGCAGCGCGCATCGCCTGACCAAAAGATATCCCCAAAAAATCCTCCAGATTACCGACAGCTTCCGCAAAACTGACCTCGCGACGGAAACGGTCCCAGCGGTGGAAAAGTTTGTGGCGCGGCGAGCCAACAGCGACGCGCAACAGACGTGAGGCAGACGTGAGGCAGACGCGCGACAGACGTGAGGCAGACATGTAAAAGACGAACTACATGTAACAGACGAGTAAAGCAGTTCGGCAGCAGACATCCTACATGCTCGCACATGCAGCAGGCAAATGGCAGATATTTTTACCGGAAGTTTAGGGTGGCTATGATCGCAGAATTAGAGGGTTTTTACGATGGTCTTTAGAGGGTATTCACGATAGTCTGCGCTGACGGTCTTCACCATAGTCTGCAGAGGGTCGTCAGGATGGTCTGCAGTGGGGGTTCACGATGGTCTGCAGAAGGTCTTCACATCGAGATGTCTGCTATCATTGCAGACAAGCAATACAACAACAAAAAATACTTCAACTCTTTGTCGGTGGATCCATTACACTTTGCCAATTTTATTTAGCCCAGAAGAGTTTGTAGTAACTAGAGTTACCGTCATCAGACAGGTGATTAAAGTTTACCAAACTTGGGCTCTGCAGACTCAAGAGTTAACCTTGTCCAGGCGCACACCCGACGAACTTCTAAGTTATTCGTGAATGAGTGTATTTTCCAGTGGAAGTATTCTGGGAGCTAATTGATATTATTGTTATTTTTATTGACATTTTAAAATCCTGATACAAATTTCAAGCAACTGCACCAAATAAAGTACAAAAATCACGGGCTGCCTGATGTGCTTTGGGAAACTAAATGAGGCCAAGGACGCCAGCCCTGTGGCACAAAAGGGCCCGGAAGGCTTTTAGGCGGCCATTAGTGGCCAATAAATGTTTGGGCTGGCCCGGCCGTAGATTTTAATAAGGTTTGGCAGCCGGGGTGGGGCCTGGGTTCTGTTTAAGAATGGGAGGGGTGGGGCCCGGGTGGGGCCCGGGTTCTGGGGGGTGGGGCCCGGGTTCTGTTTAAGAATGGGAGGAATGAGGGCGCCGACAGCTCATTAATTCCAAGCGCGGAGCTCGTAACTGATGAACGGAGTTACCGACTGTTGTTTTGTTGTGTTCTTGTTGTTGTTTTCCCACTGCTGTTGTTATTTTTGCTGTTATCTTTGTTGTTAAAATCAAGAAGATCGTTATAGTAGATTTTGTTTCGTCCGCTGCTGTCGTCCTTTGAATAGAAATCAAGCGATGTAAGACAAGGATACTCAGATAAAAAATAAATTTTTACCTAATTTAATAATGTTTGTTAGCAGAACATAAAAAATTTTGTTAGAATCAGAGAAGCTCCAACCTTTTTTAGCAGCTTCTTGAGAAGAAAAACTGTAGAAATTTGTTTTAATAATTTTGCGACTAATGCGTGTCATGCAGTCGTGTATGGAGGGGAGCAACAGTCGGGGCTGAGCTTCAACTCGTTGATAGCCTCCCAACCCGGACGTCGCCCCCTCGAGCCCCCTTCCCCCACCGGACTCTCCCACTACCCCCACGACCAAGGTTTGTAACTCAACATTTCCTGAAATGTAATGTGAAATTTTGCTCTGATAAAAGTATTGATAATCGCAAGTTCAACGATGGTCGTAAATGCTGTTTTAACGTACGTGATTGGATAAACGATACAGTGCAATTTCGATTAATCAATCGCCTCAGGTGCTCCGATAAACGGGCATGATTTCAATTCACATAAATGAATCTTTAAGAAAGATTTACTCAGCCTTTTCTCCCAAGTTTCTAACCGCGGTATGATTCAACACACTCGATATAAAGCTGCACTAGCAAACAGAGATAAAAGTTTCATGTCATTGTTATTCACAACGTCTTTCAGTCTTTAATTGCGCGCTTGAAGAAAAATTTCGATTGGAAACTCTTAATTTTAAAACTCATAAAAATATGGCTCCGTACGTCAGATAGAAAACCGCCAAACATTGTATATTTATTTAAATTACTGAATCATTTAACCTGAGTTAGTAGCATTTCCGAGGCTAATAGAGCTAATGTTGTGCGGATCCTTAGTAGTATTTCCTGTACCGGCGGCTATAACAGCTAATGTTGTACGGATCCTTAATCAAATATTGCAACGTCGCAGACATCTTTAACAAGCACGATGCATAAGAGATATCAGCCATTCAAGAGAACGATTGAAGACCATGAAGCACAGTCAGTGGCATCATCGTTGAACTTACGACCTACGATCTAGATCTTACGATATACGATATACATCTTACGACCTACGATCTAGATTTTACGACCTACGATCAAGATCTTACGACCCACGATCTAGATCTTACGACCTAAATTTAATTGTTTTCTTATACGGTCCTGTCGAAATAAGAAAGTTATTTATTATTGCTTTTCAACTTTTACTTCAAAGTGGATCCATTCAATTCAACGAACAACTTCTATTGGGATTGGTTATAGCATCTAAGCTACAAATGAGACTGCGACTGTAAATGAAGTAATCAAATTTATTGGAATATCTGGAGTTGACTGCATGACATCACGTACACCATAACATCACGACTACTATTACAGCAAAATAACCCATGACTTTACGTCAATCTAGACATGAATTTTCCCGCGGCAAGTTCATGTATACACATTGACAGTTTTTTCGTCTGGGTCATCCGAATGAATTGCTCTAAGTTTTTTGAAAAAAATTACGTGTATTACATTCGACATTACCACTGGACCAAGTGACCAAGCCCTTCAGTACGCAGCTAATACAAGCCTCAATCTTCTGGATGTAACATATGGCTTGAGCAGTTATTGCATATTAATTGCGCTATGGAAATACACGGGATACTAACTTTAAGTTTGCTTTCTGTTCAGATTATGTGCATTCAAAGAAAGGTTTAGGCTCATTCAAATTTTATGTTTACAAATGAATTCAAAATGGATTTGTGCGGAAGGTTTTTAGCAGGTAAGAACTGAGCTTGTTGTCTCTACTAACTCGCTTTGCTTCTCTCCCTAACGCTGCTGCAACTGGAATGTTGTGTCCGACTACTCTTCTGACATTCATCATTTTACTGACAACTCATACTCATTATATTGTGTATATTCAACGCGCGCTGCCGTAAAACAAAATACTAAACATTAACTGCTCGATGTCAAATATTGAATATTTCTGCTGATATTTCCTGACATTTCATTACTATTGATCATATCGACGATTACAAATTTCATCCGTATTTAAATGCCACATGCTATTACATTTCCCATTCATACTATTACATTTCTTTACTCACGTAATTACAACCCCACTAACGCTATTACATTTCCTCACTCACGCTTTTACATTCTCCCCACTAACGGTATTACATTTCCTCATTAACGCATTACATTTCCCCACTCACTGTATTACATTTCCCCACTCACGCTCCGGCACTTCCCATCCGCTACCGTGTCTCCTCACTCCCACTATTGCATTCCCCCTCTACCGCTTTCCCCACCGCAGGCAGCGGGGAAGAGGTTGACATAATATACAAGGTGCTGAAGCAGGCGGGGGACCTGGGGGGGCGGCGCAGTGCCTATGGGTCCATAGAGCGCGAGTTGGGGGGCTATAGAGAACCAGTGGTCGACCGTCCCTCTGGAGGGAGTTATAGGGAGCTACCCTCAGTGGGAAGCTATAGGGAACTTCCTTCTGCTGGTAACTTTAGGGAACTTCCCTCTGAAGGGAGCTTTAGAGGGAGCAGCAGCGCCATGTCCCTGCAGCGACACTTGTCCCAGCAATCCCCGTACTTGTCTGGTCCTCCTTACCCTTCCCATTCATCCCACCACCTCCCGCCTCCCCACCACGCACCACCACCATCCCACCTCCCGCCACCTGCCCATCCCCCATCACACCTGCAGCACCACCGCTTCCATCGCGCCCCTTCCGCCGCCGCCAACCTGAGCGTCGCCCAGGGGCCACCCGCGTCGTCGTCAGGTGAGATCCGCTCGTGTGGGCAGTTGTGTCAGGGGTGACAACTTTGTGTCAGGGGTCACAACTTTGTGTCAGGGGTGACAGCTTTGTGTCAGGGGTGACAACTTTGTGTCAGGGGTGACAGCTTTGTGTCAGGGGTGACAACTTTGTGTCAGGGGTCACAACTTTGTGTCAGAGATGACAACTTTGTGTCAGGGGTGACAACTTTGTGTCAGAGGTGACAGCTTTGTGTCAGAGGTGACAACTTTGTGTCAGATATGACCTATTTCCATCAGGGGTTACACATTTGTGTCAGGTGTCACATTTATGTCATAAAGTTGCATTCGTTTCAAGAGCAACACAGTGTAATACCAGGTTTTTATTGACAGTTCTAAAAACAATGTTAGCAGAATAACAGCAATACTATTTCCTTGACTAAAAATTCAATATTTATCTCCAACGTTTGTCGAGTATTTGAAGACAGCCAGTGTGGCAGGACCCGCTGCCGATGAATCAAGCTTTCTTCTTTTCCCGCGTTTATTCATGTTTTATGTTTTTATTCATGTTTTAACCCCTCATCCTTGTGCTTCTAATTTTGTGCAATTCTACTTAATACCAAAGTATAATTAGAGTAACACATGTACATATTTCACTTCATTGCTGATTTTTCATGTAGCCGAAGATAGTAATTGCAAATTAGAATTTTTCACTAAATACTGCGCCCCGCAGAGGTGGTTAAAGGCTTAGTTTGTTCACTAGCTGGCTGATCGAGCTTAGGAAGTTCAATGTTGAAAAGGTTGCTGTTTCTATGTTCACCGGAATGCAATACAGCTAATATCATCGAATACTTTAATTAGATTAGCAAAAATGTACATTTTTCGAATTAAATTAAATTAAGCTGAGATGTTGAGAAGCCATCTTCTTTTGGCATGAAATATGGCTTACCCTGGGTTTCGCATTGTCAGATAAGATCGTTCATGTTTTTTTGATCGGACATTGTAATAGCATCTGGTCGATTGCCACGAGTTTTTATATAATTAATTCCAAGATGTGGACGTCAGAAGCATCTCTTTGCCTGATCTCTGTCAACGTTGTCTCGATTATGTTTATTCCTGCTAATTTGAATCCAATAGACAGATGATTTCCTGCTAATAGAGTACGGGACTATCAGTAAAACTTATGTCGCTAGAGGATTAACACGCAACTATAAAACGTGAGTATCCCGACCATAGTGTTATTATTATAGCTCAATAAACTTAGTGTGAGTGACTATAGTTGTGGTCAAGTGCCTCGTGAATGCCCCCAAGCCTGGTTTCTGCTGCCGCCCAACTTTATGAAAGTTGCGGTAGCGATGTAAGTGTTAGCGGGAGCTATGATAGATCGACGTCGTAACTCCGAGTGAAACTTGTAACTCCGGCAACTTTGCGAGGACTTTTAATGCAGTGACGCACAGATCGTTAAGAGGAACAAGGGGGCTCTTGAGGAGTCGTCGAAAGGACTCGTTGCTTCGCCCGCTCCCTGAACAATTACAGCTGATTCACGACTCAACGTAGATATGTCCATTTTGCATATACCATCTCTGGTCATTAGCTGTACATCACTGGGATATGATGGATTTCTGGTTTAAAAAGCCTTTCCCACCCCTGTCACTTCACCCTCACTCTTTCCACCCATCTCCTCTTCACTCTTTTCCGTCCCTTTTACTTTGTTCTTACTTTTAACACCCATCTCACTTCGACCTCATTCTTTCGACCCACTCTTTTCACTTCGACCTCACTTTTTCTACCAATCCTACTCACTTTGTCTTCATTCTTTTCGATCCATCTGATTCGTCCTTACTCTTTTCAACCTTCTTGCATTTATTGTAATCTTATCCACTCCTCTTACTTTGCCCCTTCTCCACCCACCCCGCTTGCCCACCTTTTCCGCCCCTTTCACTTCGCTTTCCATCATTTCCACTCCACTCACTTCGCCCTCGCCCCTTCCCGAGCCTCTCACTTCGCACTTACTCAGTTCCAGCTTTCTCATTCTGCTCTTGTTGTATTCGGCCCCACTTACATCAATCCCACTCTTTTCTGTTTCTATGGATACGCTCTCTCTTTTCCATCTCTCTCTTCGCTCTCATCATCACCACCCCTCTCCCTCTCTCTGTGAAATGCCTCTATTTCACCCCTCTCACTCATTAGATGTCTCCCAGCTCACTCGCCTCTCTCTTCTCTCTCTCCCATAACTTCTACTTCACTCTCTTTGATTCTCTTCACTCTCTCTCTCTCTGTACTACACTCTCTTTCCACTCTCCAACATTATTCCGCGTAATTTATTTTTCCTTCAATCGTGCTCTCTTTCCTTCATTCTACTACTCTTCACCTCCTAATTTCCTTCTCTTTCCTCCATTTTCCATCTCTTTGCCATACTTTTCCTATCTTCTTATCATTTCCCTGTCTTGATTAGACCTCTTATAATGCACTACCTTTGTATTCCTTCTACTTGTCTGTTTCACTTAACTCCTCATTTCTTTTTACCCAAGCTCCTTTATCATTCTATTATTTTCAGTTTCCTTCTAAACGCCCCCTTTCAATTTGCGCCTCACATTTTCACTCTCCTGCTGTACCTTCTGCTATTCATCTGCTACTTCCTTCTATTCACCTTCCACGTCCTCTTTCTTCCCTTCCCCCCACATTCTGTTTCACTAAACTTCTTTAATCCCCATTCACGTCATACATTTTTTGCTCGGTACTTTGTTTCCAGAGCCTTGGCATTAAATTGTGTCCACGCCAGCGAAGAATTACAACGTGGGCGCTGGAGAGACAGTGGCGTTATAAACTATGCAAGCTAAACCCTGGCGCGGCAAGCGAACACACTACCTTATCCCATACGCCATATGTGGTCACCGTAGCCCAGCAATCCCCATAGAACAGACGATCGCCGCAGTGCATGTAAGATCATCGTTAGAGCTGCTGCATTCCCGTATATGGCAGGAGCGAATGCAGCTCACTGGCGCCCGCATACGGTAAGGTCCCGACAGCCTTGCCGTTGCCGACACATATCTTTGACAGGCAGGAACCTTCCAGTTGAGCGAAACAAACTGGAAACCATTCTGCGTGATCGGCGACAGTTGGTGTGAAATTCCGACGATTGCCGACCGGAGATAGCCGACAGACTTGCCAACTTGGGCGGCGTGAGCGAGGCATATTGATGTGGCAAACTTGCGGAAATGAAAATTGCTAAGATGCGCCCGAGCGAGGAAGTCGAGTAAACAGCCTTGGCGGACTTGGCCCAAGAGTTCCGTTGAAATTTTGAACTCGGTCATCTTTAAAAACGTGTCTGAATTCCCATCATCAACATGGCTGCCGCAGAGTCAACAGCTTTTAGAACATCGACTTTAAGCAAAAACGCTAAAAAAATTTGAAGCGAGAGCAGAAAATCTGCGACAGTTACAATTATTTTTGCTTTAAAAATCTTACATTACTTAAAAGGTTATCATCAAGGCTGGGAACAGAAAAATTGTGATTGATACTCATTAATTATTTCTTACTATTTGCTTATCTACTATAGGCGGTAAGCAGCAAATCATTGAATTATTAAACCTAAACTCTGTACTAAAAAAAAGACAAAACACGAACACACGAACAATACTTGCACTTATTTACGTTCCACGCTAACGCCCTCTATGACGTGACCATAAAAGCAGACTGTTAAAGTTGACGACCAAAATCAGTTTTTTAGACATTCACGACTTTGACACCAGTTTTGTAAGATCTGAGTAGCAATATTAAGATCATTTATAAATTTAGATCATTTATAACATGAATATCATTTATATTTTATCATTCGATGCAGAATCCATTTCCTCTGCCTCTACTGTAAACAAGAAGATGGTTTAAGAGCCAACTTTATGAAGGCGGTTCCCTACGCATCGCCTTCCGCTTACTAAAATATTCTTGGATGTGATGTGAAGAAGTTGGACTACTGGAACTACGATGTTCAATTGTTCGGAAATAAATCAAATCATCGTATGCCTGCCATGAAAGTTATAATAAAATAAAAACCACCGATGATGTGAGTGCAACATCCGTGGACGTTTCTCACATCAGACGACATCCGTGGACGTTTCTCACATCAGACGACATCCGTGGACGTTTCTGATTGAGCAGCGCTGAAAATCCCACGAAAGTTCCTTTGCTAGCATCAATATACTCAACGATCCAGCGTGAATTATGCTTTGCAATCCACGCTTTAATTTAATTTATCCAATAAAGTTATCGTGCACTCATGCAGTGCACAGCAGAAATAAAGAACTGTTCTGTCTCGTATAAGAGTTGCATCGTATAAGAGTTGCAGGAGGGATTTATGAATAATAAACTTTATTAATGGACTGTACCAGTTTAGTGAGCTCAGTGTGCCGTGTCAGAGATCTTATTCCAAAGAAACAAGGTGGTTTTCATTGAAGAAACTACAAACTTCCCTGCCTGTTAAACTGTAGGTTGTCTTTCCTTCTGTTTCCATTGTGTCGGTTTTGACGACTGGTGAATTTTTTAGTTGTAAAAATTATTTATTCAATTTATTATCATTAGTTGTAAAAATTATTAAACGCATTAGTTTCATGTACATGTTCCTGATGCCAGAGCAAAACTTTTCATCCAGTTAGATGAAAATGGACTAAGCAAGCTTGAAAATGTTATTCCTTACCACCCCTGCTTCTCCATAAGCTGAGTCAGATGAAACACCTGCTGCAAGTTTTCGTGGTTCATCCCTGACCTGAACCTGCTGCCAGACGTAGTGGTTCAGCCCTGAAGAGAACCTGCTGCAAGTTATCGTGGTTCATCCCTGACCTGAACCTTCGGCAAGTTTTCGTGGTTCATCCCTGAGAAGAACCTGCTGCCAAACATAATGGTTCATCACTGACCTGAACTGACAGCCGAAGGTGATTCTTAATCCTTGACCTGAACCTTCTGTCTGACGCGATTCTTCATTCCTGACGTGAACCTGCTGCAAGTCGTGACTCTTGTTTGCTAACCTGAAAATGCAAGTCGTAGTTCAACACCCGCGTCCGGATTCTCAAACAATTTCTGATCTCCAACATTGAAATTTAACTGTCAATCTCGGTTCTCGGTGAGAATCACTCCTGTCAATCACAGTCGCGGCGTTTGAAATCACGATAAAATGACGTTTAAAATCACGGTTTAATGACGCGCAATCAACGAAATACCTCACCGCAAAATTCCGTAATTTAAGGCAAGATCATTCAAGAATTTTTCATGAATCAGGTTCAGCAAGTTCCGTTTTTGAATATTTGTCACCTGAGTGACTCAATTGCAAATATGGACCGAATACAATGATAATAGAATTCAGTGAGAAAATTACCAAATTCAACGGCAATTGAAACAAATCTTGTCAAGAATGAAGTAAGTAAATGAAAACGAACCAAGGACAATGAAGAGTGAACTAGAAATTATGAGGGATACACTGCTGAAACAACTAAATTCTGAGAACAATTCAACAACTGAGCAATGCATTCCTTCGAGTGATGGACGAAAAAACATCTCGTCTATCACGGGTGAATATGGAGTGTTTTTAAGTGTGGAGTGTTGTCCAGTTTGGATTGCTTTCATTACCTCAAACTAACTTGCTAATTAAGTGGATGACATAACATGCTGGCTCACTTTCAGTCAAATTTACTGAAAATTTTGCTTATTAACTTGTTGACTAATTCTCCGGCTTACTGGTTGACTAACTACTAACTAGCTACCAGATTTTTTTACTTACTTACTGACTAACTTATTATTTGTGTCAAATAACTCCTTTTCTTTGTTTTACGAATGACAGCTTTTTCTGACGATTACATATTCGAAGAAATTTTTATCGAGCTTTGGACTTACATAAAATATAATGTATAAGGCACTAGTGGAATGCTCAATGCACCATCTACAGAAATTATAACGTTGTTCAACTGAGAGAGATTCGTAAAATACGCAACGAACTGGAAATGCACCGACGCTGTGGCCGCAGCAGTCTCAGCCAGCACGTTTCCTCCCACAGCGCCTTCCGTCGCATTGGATGTCACCGTTGCAGGCGCGTCCAGAGAAAAGACTTTTCAACAATACAATAGAAAAAATTCAATATAATCGTATGATATTTGTAAATTGTACAACGTTTATCAAAGATAAAGGTCGGAGATATTTGACCCGCAAAGGATCCATCGTGGACCTGTTGGTCCAATGTGGCGAGACGCAAGTTATCTCACGTATTGGGTAAAGACTGCGGCCTTAATAACAGCGTGAACTTAGGTTCCAATTGTTTTATATCAAATTGCTCAATCTTTTTCATATCCAAACTTCTTTCCTTGCATTTATATGTTTAAACTACTAACAATTTGAACTTCTATGTGCAGTGTTACAATATACTTTCTTCCAAAAATGTTTTGCTGGAATGCCACGTGTATATTTCCCTTATTGATTATCACTAAATTATTTCTTGCTCTTAAATCTGGCCCTTCCTGAATATAGAAACGAACCACCATTCATGCTCAAACCACAGCCACCATCAATGCTGGATTTACAATCACAATAACGTTGTTTAAAAATGTATCATTTAGTACACGATAACGCCGAATATGTCTTGGCTAACAACAGTTTAAAGTCATCTGCTACTATATACTGTAATGACCTAGCACCACCACCACCAGTTGTTTGAAATCATCGTTTCCTAGACAATGACACAAGTTATACCTTAGAACCATTACCAACAGTCAGTACACCATGCCGCAGGTTATACCGTACGTAGCACCATTACCAAGTCAGTATACACGATAACGTATGTCATACCGGAGCTCCACCACCAGCAGTTAGTGCACCAAGACGCAGATTACACCGTAGCACCACATTACCAACAGTCAGTACACAATGACACAAGTTAGTGCAAGATGTACACGATGACACATCGTCAGTACACGATGACACATCGCCAGTACACGATGACACAACAACCAAATCATTACTTAGCACAACTAAGCACCAGGCGTTCAACAGCCCCTCTAAGCCCCGTCCGACAGCGTCTCAGTCTGCGCATGAAGAGCTTCTCGCTGGACAGCCCCGACTCTTCCCTCCAGGAAGGGCCGCGTCCTCCCGCCACGGTGCTCACGCGCTGCTCATCGCTCGGCATACGATATTGTAAACAAACATTGCACCTTCAGCCATCACTTTGTTCACATACGTTTCACTGTAACCAGTTGTGTACAAACGCCCTCTCTATATGTGCGTTGTGGACCAACGCTCGTCACGCACCAGCACATGTTGTTCACTGCAGCCGGGCGTTGACGGTGTAAGGTTGTACAAGCAGTCTCGGCCCCACGGTCATGTTATCTATCATTATCCAATTTATCTATCAACGCAACGTTTTCAACAGAGATATGTTGAATTTTTGTGGAGATTTTTTCGCTTTTAAATTTTTAGTGAATTTGAGATTCAAGCAATCGAGAAATATTATAATTAAGCTAGCTTGTAGAAGGTTAAAAAACACTCGAGAATCTTATCGTGGCCTCCCGTGAAGACGTAGCAAATTTTCATTTCTATCAATTATTTTCCTCTAAATCTAAGCTCAAAAATCTAAGCCAAAACTCAAAGCTCCATAACTCTGAGCTCGTTAACCTGATTTAATATCATTCCTGACGGGCTCATTATGAAGCAGGATTGGGCAGCTCTTCATCCCTGACACCGGATCAAAGTCGCAACAAACGAGATGCGGTTGTTTTGTTGAACTTTAAAACATGTTAAATCCCTATGACCTGAGTCAGGTATTGTGGGTACAATAATTGCGCTACGAATTTGTTAAACGTGACCGTAAAGCAGGTCAAGGGTTGTAGACACGATAAACCAAAACAGACTCGTTTGCAGCCTTACTCGGATCGATAACTAAAGAGCAGCACTGAAGGAAGAGCGAGGACAAGCAGATTTGTTGCTGTTAGTTTTCGTGTGAATATCGCTGTTGTTTGCGTATGTATAGCGCTGTTGTTGTTTGTGTTGTCTTTTTTGCATTGCTTTCTCTTCGCAGAGCTCCGTGGGAGCCTCAGTTCCTTCTTCAGAAGACCCAAACCATCCTCTTGTCTGTGTCCACGCCTGCACAGCTACACTGGTACTCTTACTATACTCTTACCACTATTTTACTTTTTGCTTTATTCATACTGTATATTTCATTCCTAATTTTTCTACATGATTTTAAGTGCTAATTAAATTATTTTATTTCCACTATAATGCTCCTATCACTCATCTTTTAATACTACGCGTCCCATGATTCATTTCTGTTGTAGCTGATTTTTCGCCTGGAACCTAATTTAACATAAATTCTTAACTACCTCTACCTCGGTTGTCCATACTTTACTCTTCTTCGAATCTCGGTACCTCGCTTTGTACATTTCATGTGATAATATTTCTTTAGTTCGTCTCATCTCGCCTTTATCATTGGTGGCCTAAATTCGCCTACCACAAGTAGTGGTAATCAGACAACGGCTCAACTGCCCATCGCTTCTCTAGCCGAATCTTGTCAGAAATAGCCCCACAGAGAAGTAGCAGTCAAACGACGTTTAATCAGTCAAAAACCTCTCTGGCCTATTAGGCAACAGATAAAACTGGATAGGTCATAGCATAGTCTTTTAGGTGTCCATTTGAAAAAGTTATGAATTCGAAAGAAGTGAAACAATTTTACGTTTCGGCTGCCTAAAGTTTTCAGTGCACTCCTTACTAGAAAATTGCATTTTAGGTCCAGTAAGTGTCCATAGATAGTGACATCTTGAACTCTAGATACACTCTTCCTAAATTAATACGATTGAATTTTATTATTGGGGCTCTGCTTCATATCTTTCCGCCACTTTTATCTAATTTAAACCTGATATCTTTCTCCGCGAACTCCTCAGGTTCTGCTGTTCCACGGTGATTTCTCACCAACTACTTTAGAATCTTACTATTTCATGGCTCTAACTTCAAGTCTTACTTAACTCTTACTCTATTCAACAACTTTCCTCATCCTTTCTCAAGCTTTCTTCAGAATTCCGTTCCTTGGTAGAGTTTTTTCATTTTAATTCGATGTTTGTCTTGCGTAAACAGATATATATTTGAATTTTCTGTTCTTTTTCTTGCGATTGTTTCTTGCTATTGTTCCTAGTTTTCAAGAAATTGATTTTTTTCGCTCGGACTTCCGTTGCTCTGTTTGAGGAAAGGTGTTAAAATATACAATTTTATTCTCATCTTCAATAATTTAACCAGCTACAAGTGGCATTTTTTCATATCATCTTTTCGAAAAAAAAAAATAAAAAATCTAAACTTGCCCTCACCATACGTCATTATTTCCTCTCGTTAAAACCTATAAAGTTCCTTTTGGAATCAGTTACAAGAATGTTTGTCGGTCCACAAACTTCACTTGTTCGGTGGTTTGATTTCAAGATGTTCAGTAATTTCCTCTTGACGTTTTAACTCATTGCATATATCAACAGGCAAGCACTCTGTTCGAAATAGTGAAACTATAACCAAAGCCGATTGATTCATCATGACGTCATCTCTTCACATTTTATTTGATATTATCCAAAATATAATGACAGCCTCGCAATATTCAGATTGCGGTCAGAAATGCGGGAGTGCTTGCCTTCGTTCTGAAAGTCTTCAAGTTGAACGTCTTATTTTCGAAAACAATTTTTATGAATTTCAATGTTTTGCTAAGTTCGAAAAAAATGAGCAGCGAGTCTTATATCCTATTTGTGTTGTCATTATTATTAGAAGTTATAAGACCGGAGTTATAGAAGTAAAATGACCTAGATATTCATGTTGTTCATGAGTTCAATTGATGCATGTACAGTTGTTCATTGATAAGCGTGAAATCCAGTGTTTGTTTCATAGTTATCCATTGCGCCTAAAAATATTTTGAAGAATGTTTAATCTATTAGAACTGAGATAATTTGCTAATTGATTAGAGAAAGCTGTTAGCCGGTACTTAGCGAAGATCAGGTAGTATACAAAAATTAGCTGATAGACTATTAAGGCATCTTGAAATGTGTAGACGCAACCCTAATCGAAACTCCGAACTTACTGAATGTACGCATTCATAAATTTGCTTGAGGGCTATTTCAATTCACATATTGTAATATGGTCGTTTCCTTAAATGACTTAAGTGGTAAATTCAGAGTTCGGGTTGCGATTGCAAGGGCCTTAATGTGCTATACCAACACACAAAGTTAATGCGTGTGTTGCTCAACACATATGTCGTGGGATAACGTTGTGCTGCTCATACATACTGTATGTCATGGACCACAATGTGTTGCCAATCGCATATGTTATGTAAAGGCATCATGCTGGACTACAAATTTGAGCCTTTAGTGGCCAAGCGGCGCCAACATAAGCAACTTACTGTCTTTAATTTACATTGCGTCTGGTCGTCAATATTGGCCCTACAATGACTGGCTTCATGTGGGCATTGGCTTGGCCACGTTGGCTCCATGAGGGTTTGTGTGTGTCGGTCTGACTATAGGCCAGGTACTCAGAAACTATGGGAACATCTTAATCGCATAATCAAACAATAATAACTATAAAGATACGTTCATCTATCTTGAACATGAAACTATGACTTCTGATAATTTAAAATTTAGGAAAATCCGATGTTAAGGATCAACGACCACCATAGTTTTAAAGTATCTGACCTCATGTCGATGCGATGAGCTCGGGGCAGTGGCCCGCGACTGTGTCATGTGTCCTCTAATGGCGTCTTTCGTCCCCCGTCCCCCCACGGTATGGGTCCCCCCTCTCCCCACCTGGCAGTTGACAACTTCGTGGATGTCCTGAGCATGCACCACAGTACGTGGCATCGTCAGTCTAAGTGTGACCTCTGAAGCCTCTTTTTGACCTCATATCTACATTTTTGTGCATGTGCAATCTGAAAGTATGACCTCTACTGCGTCTAGTTGACCTCGTTTTCACATTTCTATGCATGCGCAATTTGCAAGTGTAACCTCTGCATCGTCAAGGTGAAATCGTTGCATCTTGTCTCTGCACGCAAATCCTGAAAGTTTGACCTCTATTGCGTCTTTTTAATTATTTTCCTTGCTGTGCAATGCACAGCCCTCAGTCGTGACCTAAGAACTTTTTATCACCATAATTCTAATAAGCTTTCTTCTGAAATACGTCTCAGAATGAACGTGAATGTGGCTATCACGTTGCCCGCTCGAGATCGACTTGATCAACCCTGTGCTTCCACACGAATTACATTCAATGAGAATGTATTGCTTTTTGCTCCCGTATACATGCCTTTTTCGCCGGTGAAAGAGGTTTGCCAGAGTATTTCATCTTGCATGGATGCAAGATTGTTCTCATCTGGCAAGGGTGCAACCGAAGACAGAGTTTGAGTATCACGAAGTTTGGAGCTTCGGTGACGTATTTATTTTATGGCTACGGCTCATTAAGTATCATTAAAATGAGAAGAAAAAATAAAATACGGTCAAACATTAAATGGAAGTTATGAACATTAGGCGAATTCAGTAATGAACTGTGCAGTAATCTTATAGTTATTGAAAATTTTTAAGCATATGGACAGTTTCTTCGTATTTTGCTGAAACAATTTTACTTCGCGACTTTCAGGTGGACTAAATGTATGTAACTATGTGGTTGTGTCGTATGAAGATAGTATCGCAGGAGGACGCCTCGTACGAGACCTCAGAAGACCGCGCTGAATTTCTCAGCCAGGGGCCGGATTATCAAAACGTCGCTAAGTACACTTAGCCAGTAGCCACTTACGTGTTGCGGAAGTGCTGCAATGAAGACGTAATCGGCCAGGGTGGCAGGAGCCTCCGTCACGCCTCAACCAGGTTGGGAAATCACGCATGAGGTCGAACTCTCTCGGTATGGCGTGAGCCTCCATCACGCCTCAACTAGGGTGGAAAATTACGAATGAGGTTGAACTCTTTCGGCATGGCATGAGCCTCCATTGTGCCTCAACTTATATAGGGTGGAAAAGTATGAACTCTTTTGGTATGGAACGGGCCCGGGACAAAATGGAGGGACATTGCAGGGAAAAAGGCGAGTCGTTAATTAACGTGGATACTGCTTCACACTGTTGGGTAACAGTGAAGTTAAGTCCTGGAACTTTTGCACGAGAGAAAAAAAGGAATAACGCCAATTTTTACCCTTGTAAGCTCAAGTTGAAAACTCAAGACAACTACAAGCTGTCTGTATACTGTGCTGCTTCTCTCAAACCGGACGCTAAAAAATACCTGGCTGCTTAAACTTATCACCCATTGCCATTTACAATTTCGAATAATCGGTCTTGATACGAACATGAAACTCTAAGTTACGATTCCTTGAAACTTGAGACTAATCACGATTCTAGATGAGACTCCCTCCCAGGCGGCGTCACCGGCAATGCAATAAAGTGTGTGATGTGATCCGATGGTGTTAATAATTGAATATCGCTATGCTTAGTTAAGGAATTACTGCTTTAAGATTTATTTATTGCTAATATTTCTTCGCTGAATTCTGATTAAACTTGTGTTCGCTATTGCCTGTAAATAATGGAATTCTCCGAGCAGCGAGATGTTGTGCTTCTGCTCGCTTCGCGCTGCCAACCGTTTCTGAAATCTGAACCAATTAATGCTAAGTCGCTTTAGTACGACGCAACTTGACAAGTTGATGACGGCTGTATATATATATATATATATATGCATGCATTTGTATAACCCAATGCACTTTCTCCTAAACTGAATAGCTTCAATATATTAAAATATTTCTTAAGCAGATCGCACAATTCAGTTTTAGTTGAGCATGAGTCAAGTAACTTTCGTTTCTAGTATTTTAGTTGAGTTATTAACCATCTTGTGCTTCTGTCTTGTGTTAGTCCATTTGAAGAATCATTACTTATTGCCTAGTCACTAATTATTATATTCACATTTAGTCACTGGCTGAATGAATTTACTGCATTATTATAAGTTTGACGGATTATGACACGTTAGACCATCCCCACGCACAGCCTTCTTCAATGTACAGCGCACATTGCCTTCTTTGTAAGGTACTTGGTAATAACTTTGAACCTCTAAGAACCATAAATAATTGTTAGAGTTCAAACTATACCAGCATAAACAAATTTGTTCTGTACATAAACTATATAAGTTGTCGGGATACATTTTAACAACTTCTGAACGCGCTGGGCGGCTAATCAATTGCTATTAGTTAAGCCAACACATCCAGATCACCAATTAGCTCATTATCCTGCCATTTTCACATCCGCAACCATATTGGTAGCTGATGGTTATGTCCAATATTTTGTACAACGTGCACGTATATTTCAAGCCTCATTGAGGCACTATATTATGGTCCAAATATTTTGACGGTATTGTGACCCATCAACCTTTTGAAACTTGAAAGACTTAAATAATTTTACGTGTTCATGGCCCAATGGCCTTGATATTCTCATGAAAGTGGGTTTAAATGTCACTAATAATCTGGGCACATTGTCGTAGCACATTAGATGACTGTGGCTTATTGCTAATGAATTTATTAATATGTGCTCAACAAATTTGAGTTACCATATCAAAGTTAAAACATTGCAAATCTTTCATAAAACAGAAATAGCTAAAATAAATTATCTACTTCGAATTAGCACTGCCGAACTGGGCGGTCCAATATTGACCTAAAGTCTTATCTTTTCATCTTACGTGAAACTTAAGCCTTATCCTTCGCATTTCAAAATACCTACTCCCTTGATTCTAATTCACTCATGTTTGATCCGAACTTTTAACTTTAAACCTCCAAGTCAAGGGTTTTGTGAAGCGTTGAAACGGATACAATTCTCTGAATGATTTCAACATTACCCTTTTAGATCGAAATTGTACGTAATTAACAAAAGCATTAACCGGCAGCGTCTGAAATCTATAATCCAACATTCACCACATATTCTTATTAGAGAAGAGAATAACAACTTCCAGAGAGTGAAAAAATTAGGATAATCAAATAATTAACTATGACCGAGTAACTTACGGTGATCGAGTATAATCGGTATAACCGAGTAACTCATGAAATGAATAACTCACGATGCCCGCCAAATATTTTCGACTGCAAAGCCTATTTACCACTCAAATCAAGATGAATGCCAAACTCAAGATGGCTACCGAAATTAAGATGACCATGAAACTTATGACGTTCGTCTTCAAGACTCTGATGAGCCTTGTCCTCCAGCACCGTCCAGTCCCGTGAACCACCGCCGTCTGATGTCAGGGCGCGCGACCCGCATGAGTTCTGTGGAACTGCCCGACGACAACAAGTCGCTGAGCTCTGCCAGCACCTCGCCCTGTCCGTCTCCTGTCACTAAGGTGTGTGGTCACGATCAATTTGGTCTGCCAGCACCTCGCCCTGTCCATCTCCTGTCACTAAGGTACGTGGTCACTAAGCAAGTCACTTTGGTCTGCCAGCACCTCGCCCTGTCCGTCTCCTGTCACTGAGGTGCGTGGTCACGATCAATTTGGTCTGCCAGCACCTCGCCCTGTCCCTCTCCTGTCACTAAGGTGCGTGGTGACGATACGAGTCACTTTGGTCTGCCAGCACCTCGTCCTGTCCCTCTCCTGTCACTAAGGTGCGTGGTGACAATACGAGTCACTTTGGTCTGCCAGCACCTCGCCCTGTCCCTCTCCTGTCACTAAGGTGCGTGGTGACAATACGAGTCACTTTGGTCTGCCAGCACCTCGCCCTGTCCATGGTGAGTGGTGAACCGGTGTGGTGAGTGGTGAACCGGTGTGGTGAGTGGTGAACCGGTGTGGGGTGAGTGGTGAACCGGCGTGGTGAGCGGTGAACCGGTGTGGAGAGTAGTGAACCGGCGTGCGGTGAGTGATGAACGGCAGGTAGTGGGTGGTAGAATGACCATCGAACGAATAAATCTGTTAGTGGTGAATTGACCTGTGGTGAGTGAACGGAAGCGTGGTGAAATGTATTTTGTATACTCTCCTGTCGGGTTATGGTTTTCCATGTCGACGTTCTCAAAGAACGTCAAAATTATCATAACTAAGTAAGCAGACTAAGTGTATGCCGAGCACATCTGGCAGGAACGCTGTCTGAGCTCACTTCTTCTCACTGTAAACTTAGTTAAAAGTTTAACAGATCTCGCTTGGCTTGCACTAAACTTCGCTCACAAGTTGTAAACCGGTTGAGCCTTCCAGGCAACCTAAAAACTTGAAATTCCGAAGACACGGCTTGGCTTTTAATCAATCTGAAATCGTAACGGACGGCAGTGCTTCTCGGTGGGAGCAAAATGAATTTAAGTCTAAATATAAATATTCTGTGGCCGACGTCGAACAATCCAATAGCTAGTAAAAGGAAGTCAAGGAAAAAAAAGAAACAAAAATCCCCTTGAAACCAAACGTTACGAATGACACGTGCCGAGACGATTTTTTTAAAGGAGCTTTAAATGGCGATTTTTGCTTCGATATTCGCCAGTTTTCATTGACGCTTGTTTTCTTGCTCTCTTGTTGGATTCAGAGGATTTGATTTTGATATTCACATGTAATTGTTATTTAGATAAACTCATTTTCGTGCGGATATCTCCAACACGTTTTATGTAACATAGAGTAAATAAAAGCACTTATTACAATTTCACACGCTAATGCTGTGAATTCAGATGCTTCCGACCCGTCATTCACACTTTCCTGAGAATTTCTCGTGATTTCTTGCAATTAGTCTTGTGCCTTTCTAATAGGGCATTCATACGCATTTTGTGAAATGAACACTTTTTCTGGTGATATTAGCACATTTTTCTAACATAAACTCAATTCTTGTGATATTCACACACTTTTCGGCATTCATGCGCCCTTCGTGTGGCATTCACACTCGCATTTTTTGCCACATGAAGAGCGCATTTCATAAGCACATTCACGAGCATTTTTTGGCATGCGAACATTTTTTCCGGTCCATGGCATTGCTGCACTAGTGCACGTGTGCTGCATACGTGGCGTAATCTACTCGTGCATGATGTACTCTGCATACGTGGCGTATACTTCAGTGCGTGACATGTACGTGACATGTACTCTACGTGCGTGACGTGTACTTCAGTGCGTGACGTGTACGTGACATATACTCTACGTGCATGACGTGTACTTCAGTGCGTGACGTGTACTTCAGTGCGTGACGTGTACGTGACGTATACTCTACGTGCGTCACGTGTACTTCAGTACGTGACATGTACTCTGCGTGCGTGACGTGTACTCTGCGTGCGTGACGTGCACTTCATTGCATGACGGGCACTTCGTACTTGCAGCGCTGGCTACAAAGTGACGGTGACAGACACGAGCGACATCGACTGGTGGCAGGGCAAGTGCATGGGGCGCACAGGTTTCTTCCCCTCCAAGTATGTGTCGCGCCTCAACAACGGGGAACGGCCTCTGCAGGTCACCCACAACCTGCAGGTCACTGACGGTGACCGCGGGCTCAAACTCCTCAGGGATCAGGTAAGATTGAAGTCTTATAAATTACTCACAGTTATTAGTATTATTATTATTAAGAAAGCACTATTGTTTCCGCATGTTTATTTACCGTGCTGCATTGGGACAAGTGTCAATATTTGCCCTAACACTATTGAGGGACTGCGCAATTGGGAAGCTCTACTCAAATATGCAGAGACCGGTTGTGAAAAAAGGCTTTTTTTAAAAGATAACTATAGGAAAATGTTACAAAAACTTCATTGAGGAAATAATTTCAGCAGAATAATCATTTAGTAATCAGTAATTGAATAGCGCTCGTGGCAAAGCAAGAACCTCTAGTCAAGAGCTTAACTTGAAAAATAAGGATTTAGACGGCACCTAGAAAACGGCGTTAACTTTCTACCTGGTGTGTCCAAGTCAGGGGAAGAAAGGAACAATTTTTTAAGAATTAGAAATTAGGCAGACTTCACAGAGTCGTTCAAGAAAAATATGGCCATGCACCCGGAGTAAAAAACTTGGTTGTTTGTGCGCAAGCACCATTTCCATTGGTTATGGTTGTTGGTAATTCTTGCCAGTTCTAAGTGACATCACCTGCAATTAGTTATTAATTTTCAGTATCACTAAGAACTAATGATACTGATACTAGCAATGATACGACTATCGTAGTAACTCTGATGTTTCTTTTGCAGATCGTGATACAAGTTGGCGATGAGATCGATGGCATGGTGATGATCCGTAACGGTGACCACCAGCAAGGAGTGTGTCCCACGAAATACCTGCAGGAGGTATGAACGTCGAGCCCTTCAGGGATCAGTTGACAGCAAGCCCCACGAGCAGACTCTTCACCATCACTACACTTGACATACGACGCAGGTCCACGTAGCCAATTCTTGCACCATAAGCGGCACTCTACGAATGATGTTCACTACTACCACCATCACCACGAGCACCACCACCAACATGATTGTCAACATCACTACCGAGATTTGGCACTCCCTAGAGAGGAGCTCTTTCAGATTTCCGACGGGCAATCGGAGGTCCGCGACGCTTCGGAAAATTCCAGCTGCAAGAAAAGTTACTCGAAAAACGAAAGTCTTGGCCGGCACTGCGATTATCGCAGCGACCGACATTGCGATATGAACTTCAACGTTCATAACACGCATTTTGGCAACCACAAATACCACAATGACAAGCCCAGCCGCAGCGGGAGCAAATCAAGCCGCACCAACAGCAGACCAAGTTACGCCAGCAGCCGAGGGTCTTTTTGGGGGTCGTCTCTCCCTGAGACCCTATCCGAGGGCACGTCTCAAAGCCCTTATCAGCCGTCTGATGACGACGACGTCTTCCAGGAAGAGCTGGTGATCACGTCTTCATCTTCGTCTTACTCTCACACGAACCTCACGAAGCTGGCCAAGCGCATAACGAACAATCGTCTTCTGAAGAACGGCACTTCATCCTACCCCGTGCCTCCTCTGAACATTCCCACTTCATCTTCGATTCCTGCCTGGTCCTTCCATCCGTTGAAAGTTCAAACGTCACTTCCAGAGGCCGCTTCTCATGAAGCTCGCAACTGTTGGTCTTCCGACGATGAGGAACAGAGTCAACATTCAAAGAGTTTGCGCTCACTTTGGTTGGTGCAGCTACCATATCCATTGCGTAGATTATATTTCTTCATGGATCCCCATTGGATACCCCGCAATCGCTGGTGAAGAATCTGCTTAAAGTGACTCCAAAAATCGCTACACCAAACACGTGCAATTTTCTATTTGTCAAGCAAGGTTAAATTTTAAAAACCACCTCGATACCTCCTGAAGCTGCAAGTCACGAGGTACCAACAACTAACTGATATCAGATCTGCTGTACATTTGACGGTGCCATGCTGGTGCCGTTCCGTGATTCCTGAAGGGCCCTGGGCAGTTGATTGACACTAATAAAGCGTCATTATATAAAAGGAATATTCAATTTGCTAAGTTTCTCGAGATTTCCGCTGCAGTCGTGCGCATCTCCCATTCATACGGGTGACATTTAACCGGCATCGGTAAATGCTATTGCAGTAGTTCGACAGATGCAGTAGCTTCCAACGGTCCGAAACCGAGACCTTATAAGCCAAGAGCAGATAAGATAGGTTTACATATATCGGTGAGTATTGAACATAATAGGATGATATATATACTTAAAACTGAATTTTTGTGTCAGTTAAGACGTCGGTAAATAAAATTTTGATCCTATACGGCCGGCATTATTTATACGTGGAGTAACTACCTATATTCATTGATCATAACTAAATGAATCATTTAAGACGATGTGATAACAACTGCATATCAAAAGCTAAAATAATATCTCCTTAGAAAAATCATTTTATAAGAACTTAAACTTCATTTGGCAGAATTGATAGGCACTTGCTGTTATCAACTGACCAGTTCCATAATACCTATATACTCATGGAGTCCGTGAGGCACTGCAAGCTATCCTTATGTATTGATTAAAATCCATAACTGACTTGTAAATCTTGTTAACTGTAAGGTTAGATATTTTCTAGTGAACACTTCCTTCCAGCAGTTGCTTCACACGACAGATGCATTTGATTCCGTTTCATCTCTGTGCCTGTTTCACGCTGTTCTTCAGTTCGCCTTTTGTAAGGTAGTTTTATTTTGTCGTATTTCTGGTGTGTGCAGCAGTATGCTGTACATTTGTTTACGATGATTTTGTACCAGAAACTGTACATTAATTTGTTGAACTGAGACCACGATTTGTTGTTCTGTGTTCCTGATTTGCTTCTACGAATAAGGTTGTGAACGCGCGCCCCACTTCTGACAAGTGAGACACTTGCAGCGCCAGGGCGCGTGGTGCTTATGACGGGCGCCTGCCACGGCTCTTAGATTATATGATCATAATACACGCTAATTAATTCCATACCTCAACATCAACACTGCAACTTATAAAAGTAATAACAACCATTGGATATTTGAGTGTAGCAATTGCAGCTTTTCAAAGCTACAATTGCTTTTGTAGCTTTATTTGTAGCAATTGCCGTCCAGTTCAACAGTCACGCTAATGCCATTCGTTGTAACAAAAGAAGCTAAATTAGAATTTTTTCAAATTAGCCGATAAATTGAGACGATACACAGGCGTCTGCCACGGGCGCGACGCGTCTTCTGTGCGTGGCAACTGAACAGTTTAACCGTTGTCGCTATTCCCACGATGTTATACTAGTCATTCCTGGCATCCAGGAATGATGAAGTTAGTGCTGCTTTTAGGTTTTAGTCATAAAACGTGGGAAGTACTTTTAGGTGATGATTTATGCCGGCCTTAACTGGAATTACCTTAAACGTTCATTTTGTTCGAATTTTGAGATTCACCTTCAGGCAAAAAAAAACCAAGTATGAGCCATCATTACGTTTACTTGGGATCAGAGCAACAAATGATTCAATATTTACCTGCGCATAGTCAACGAGTTAATCCCTTTTTATATTAATCAACACTTGATTACTTTCTGGACATTATTTCCTTTAAATTGCTAGTCTCGGGATAATATTAAAAATCGCGAATTCGTGCCGTAAATAAACGAAGCATATCACTAGAAATTGTATTAATATATTTTAAATCAATGACAGAGTTACAGATTATCGATAACATCAGTGCCATCATCCAGTGTCATGGTGCATTGAACCACGAAACTTTTTAGTTCCTGTCCAAGAATCCATAACGAATTTACCTGCAACCTCATACACTCGGCGACCTAATACTTAGGCAGTACATAGCAGCAGCACACTGGCATGAAATTGACGATACTCCAAATATCTCAGGAATCCTTAGTTAGCTATACAGTAAAGATAATCTTTTAGAGGACAAGAGCTTTAACCTCACACAGCGATGGCTGAATAGAACTCAACACTTTTAGACGCATCACAACATGAACGCAAAAACCTCGTCTATATGAGCAAGCTAACGATTGAATGATCACATACATACGGGTTGGTTACACTTATTGCAAATTGGTTTAAAAATTTCAACATGAGCTGCATTTCCTGCTCTACTAAATTCGACCAGGTCATCACAACATTTGTTCGCAACTTTTCCTCAAAACACTTATTAATGTTGAGTATCCAAACCACTCTCCATATCTATAAATTTTATCAACAAACCGATGCCTGTCTTATCGTACATATAAAAATTAGTGATAGGCTGGGATAAATGGATAAAATTAATCTATTCAAATGAAACCTAGATAGCATGGTAATAATACACATATAATGCGTTCACTCACGAGCATAAAATTTATCTCTTAATGTCACAGATTATACCAAGTGTTATACACCTCACAGTAAATAAAGACGCCACCATATATGTGCATTTCACGCATATCAATGCACTTTAGTTAGGTAAGCAAAAGATTCATTCATTTATTTATTTCAATTTACTGTTAAACTAAATGTGACGAAAAAGTTGCAAAGATTCCACAGCAAAAAGCAGACTTATTATTCAAAATAATTGAGTATTGCTACATGAGAAGCAGTAGGCCAGTATCATTATAGTGCGTGGAAGTTTTCTGGAAGTGATTCTGTTAAAAAATGTTAGCAAATTATGTATCCTATATGAATTTCAGAACAATTCAAGTTGCTCTCAAAAGTTCATCTCAAAGTATTTTACTGGCTAACCGTCTCAAAAGAATGATCAGGATATAATACTTAGAATATAGAATTTCCATGTAAGAACCTATGCCGTCAAGCAGAATGCCCGTAAGTAGCTGCTTCTTATGTTGTTATTGCTGTCTGTGGTGATCGCTATCTCTGGCTGCTGCCTTAGTGAATATTGGCAGCAGCTTGTTTTGTACGCATAAGATTTACTGAAATTCGCACTTAAACAACCTGGTCAGAGATAAGCAAATAATGTGAACATAATAAACTATGGCAACAGTTACAAATTCAATATCCTTTCAACTACTTTTGACAATATGTGCAAAGAGAAATTAATCTTAGAGACACTCCAAGGAAAATGTTTTATTTACAAATTTTATATGAAACTACATTCACCAAACAAATTCAATGACGTGTAGTAAATGACATAAAAGATGCTAATTTAAACATTCACAGCATTAGTACTGACCAATCAGTTCATCTATTGGCGTATAATACCATTCTGTGTCATCAATATAATCAAGTTGTTTCCTCAACTCTTTCATGCGAGCTGCCATTTGCGCGCTCTTAAGTGTAGCATGAGCTTTTTCAGCATTTCTTTCAAACCAGACTTTGGCCATTGTCTTGGCTAGTATATCTTTAGGGGAGAGGCCCTCGTTTTGTGGCTCATGTGATGCCCGCTGCTGAGGAGTCGGGCGCGTTGACATGGAGGGTTGCTGCCGGCGAGTCAGGTGACGTGGCAGAGGCTCACTGGGCAGGCTGGGCACTCTGTACTCTTCTGTGAGGCTCACTGAGCTTGTGTTCATGAACACTGTTGGCTGGTGAGGTGTGCCACGACTTGCAGGCAGCATCACAGACAAATTACCTGCATCATAAAAACTTTTCAATCATCATGCAGAAATCAAACTGCTTCAGGTTCAGAGCATCATAAAGCCAATTTATACCTACTGACTTTTGGACTGAGTTCAAAATCTCATAAAATGTAACTTTATTGTTTTTGCAGTTCATTTTCATCTTCCACAAGATATTGTATGGAATTTTCAACCAAGTCTGGAAGATGAAGATAAGATAAGAATAAATTACTATCATCTAATCATTTATCACATTCAGCTATGTATAGGTTCAATTAAATATTTCTGTAACATCTCTCAAAAATTTCAAGCTGAAACAAAAGAAAATTGCCAAGATAAAATGTGAAAACCTAAAAAGAATGAAGCAATAAATCTGAACCATCATCAATGTTGCTAGGCTTAATTTTGTACAGTTGGGTTAATGAGATGCAATGCATAGTCAACAATCAATGCAAATCTTACAAATAAGTTGATTACTCAGAATTTATACCTACTGATTAATCAAAATTTATACAAAAACTCCCACATAAAAAGGATATGAACAAGGAAAAGCACTCACGTTGAGAACGAAGTCTAGGAGAGTTGTCGGGCAAGTTTTGTACAATGCTGTCAGGTGACTGCACCTGCCGAAACACTGACCCATCCATTTTTGTACCTGCTGGCTGGTCTGCACATTAACATTACCCAATCAATTGCATAACTTGGAAATAATATCTCAAGATGATCTAGAATAAATTTATCACTAGAATAATATTAGTATGTATTTTATACTCTTTAAACTTTACATTCATTATTTTGTATCAAGATTTAGAGATATGTACATACAACAGGTAAACATAAATTGCGGTCTTCCAAAAAAATAGCAAATGTCTCAACTGACATTTTCTCTTTAAGTCAGAACAGGTGGTACTAAAAGCAAAGTTAAGGATCAATACATATTTTCCCATGTTATCATTTGATTTTGCAGAGAGCAGTTTTTTGACACTTGAACCTCATTTCTCTCAAATTCATCAAATAAATAAATTTCTGATTGCAAAATTTAGTAGCTACACTCCAAGGTACCTATATGTTATGATATAGAAAAAACAGTTTTAACATTTCCCAAACAGAATGAAAATGGGTATAATATTGCCCATAAATTGTGTTAAAAACAAATGTTGATGTCAGTTTTCCTGCCCTCTTATAAACCTTATTATGATGACTACTTCATAGCAGTGAAGAATCATGTTTTGCAATGTTCACAAATGGCCATAAAATCATCTAGTGGCACACAAAGAATTGGATGCAGCAAAAATTACCTGTAGAAATTGTCAAAGGTAAATAAGCCCTCTTAAGGATAAAAAGGTCTTTGGTCCTCAAAAAGCTGGTTTTCTGTCAAACATGGATTAGCAGCCTCAAATTTTATTAAACTAAAATGTTCAGGGTAGAATTCTTGAGTTCTGCAGAGCTTCTGCAGGCCAAGGGCTTCTACAGAGGCTTTGCTTAGCACTAGTTGTTCAGGCACAAGAGGTTTCACATGCAAATAGTATATGATTGAAATGATATCCAGTCTTCCATTGGATTTATATGTGTTTTCAGTTGTGCCAACTTGTGTGGGTCTTCAGCACTTTTAGCAGATGTGTCCTAGTTAGACAGAAAAATTGTTACGTTTCTGCATTAGAATGACAAAGTGATTAGGCAGAAAAATGGTTACTTTTCTGCATTACACTGGCAATTTTATATCAACTCAAGCAACCTATGGGCACCAACCATTTATCATTGAGCACTGTGCATCATAATCATATCTTACCATATTCAAGCTAGTTGAAAAATTACATTACTAACATTAGAACATCTATTAAGTTGACTGGGATCAGCCTCATAGTCATAGGTAGGGTAGAGAGGATGGGAGATGCATGGCTTGTTCCAGTTATTTTTGTTAAAATGAAAACAGTGGATTGGCAGATGTTGAGATGAGACATGCAATCAAAGATAAGAATCAGCCCTAGTAAATTATGCTAAAGCCAGGCCACCAGGGCAGACATCCCATCCCATTGAACCAGACAATATGCCATGCTAATTATTTAGACATCTTAATGGCAATAAGTCAAGTAGGTAGCTTGATGATTGATCAAACTAACATGAATTTTGAAAAGATCCCATCAAATGACCTGTTTTTAGATCTCCAGTGAACAAGTCATAAAAAGTACATGAATTAGCAACTGGCCACACCAGGCCTATTCTTCAGTGCTGACATGATCACAATAATATGATACAAGAATATGATTAACGTGGTCTAATAACCTATATGATACAAGAATGCGCTCCCTACTCCCTAGTCCTTAATCTCCCTAGGACCCTAGCCCCCCCCCAGTCCGCAGTCCCAGTGCCCAGTGGGCCAGGCCAGTCACACAAATCTGAAATACTAGGCAGCCTTTTTCTAACAACGCAGGTAAAAATGATAATTTCTCAAGTAATTTCAATAATTGCATGTAAAAATAGATTGTTTTGCTCTTTTTTGCTAAATTGTGGAAGGGCACTAAGAAAAAGAGAAATTGGCCAAATTCATGGGCATTTTTGTCTAATTCTCAGGGGCTTCTAACAAATTTTCCAGTTTAGCCCTCCAATGCTCAGTAATTAGATATACTAATGGAAAGATTATTAGAGATAAAATTTTCTTCACATTTTTAAGTTTCATTATAATCATTATTTATCAAATATCATCCTAAATTCCTAAAACATACCTCTAGTTTCTGGTACTATAAATGGTGTGAAAGGAAAATCACCATAAGTCATTTAGGCTCTAGATTCCCTCCATCATCCTCATCCATGCCATGGAAAGTGAAAAAATCAATTTGTTAGCTCATACAGCTGGTTTTAAAAGTTGAATACCGCTATTGCTATGACGCTATATAACACACTTCGTAAATTATAATTTAATAAGTTACTTAGAAAGAAAATTAATCAGCATTCATTGGTGCAGAGCTCTTTGCAATACTGAAGGCTCTGCAGATTTGTTGTCTGGACCCAAGACTAAGAACGCAGGACGTCCTACTGTTAACTGACTCCCAGTCGGCCCTGCAAGCCATCAGAAACACCGTCAACCCCTCATACAATTTTTTTATAATTAGGTTTAAAGGCTTCGAGTGCTTTTGCACTGCCCAGCCTGATCTCAGTCATTAGTTGGGGATAAAAGGATGAGGCTTGGGCCGCTAACAATCATTGCCAAATACACAGGGACGACTTGTCACGGTTGTCAGGATGCAGTTTATTGTGCCCAGAGTGTGGGTGGAACTGGGATATGGCCATCGCCATCGGAAAAGTGGAGTTAAAATACGTTCAATAGAATCGTACGTACATTAAAATATATAATTAGGTAATGTAAACTGTAAATAATTTCTTAACCTAATTAAAAATTTACTTATTCCCTCGTTTATTATAAGTCATTACTCATTAGGCCAATTTTAGCCTTATTAGTTATTACTTATATAATTATAACAAACTTCTGGCTAATCATGTGTCCCAACACTCCCGAGGCCCCGACTTACTGTTATTCTTGTTCGACGTAACGTTTAATCACAAAAAAAAATCCGCGCTTGAGGAATAAATATTATGCAAGTTCGAATAAATAATTCTCAAAGTATTTATTTAACACAGGGGGAAAATAAAATTAACAATTGCATACAATATTCAAATATGAAGAAACTTCGCCTCAAACTAAAAAGTAATATGTGTCTATCATCACCGAGACGACTGATTTCACATAACAAGCAGAGAAGCTTCATAATCTTCAATCTTTCTTCATAGGACTTGCCCTTCAAGCCTGGAATTATCCTTGTTGCACGTCTTTGAACATTCTCTATTAATATTATACATACATACATATTAATATTATTATACAATAACATGAACTATAAATTTGTCATGAAACACTTAAGCCTTTCGTATGAATCATAATAAAGAAAAATGATAAATGTTAGTTGTTGGGAACTTCTCTTCAAGTGAGAATATTAACGGAGACTTGCAGTTGGCTTTCCTCAATGCTTCTGGCTAATCATGTGTCCCGAGGCCCCGACTGTTTACTGTTATTCTTGTTTGACGTAACGTTTAATCACAAAAAAAAATCCGCGCTGGAGGAATAAATATTATGCAAGTTCAAATAAATAATTCTCAAAGCATTTATTTAACACAGGGGTAAAATAAAATTAACAATCGCATACAATATTCAAATATGAAGAAACTTCGCCACAAACTAAAAAGTAATATGTGTCTATCATCACCGAGACGACTGATTTCACATAACAAGCAGAGAACAAATTTTTAGTTGAATTCAATGTTAATTTGTATACAACGTTAATTATTTAACAATACAAATGTGTCAATTAGTTTCGAAACATTTATTTTCATCAAAATAAGATAAAATTAGCGAAGGATAATAAAAAAGCACGAGGAAAAAGTCGTGAAGAGTTTCGATTGGTCGTACAAGTCATTGATTTACATTCTCAAGCTAAGCCACAGCAGCAATCTCTGCCTGCACAAGATGACGATAAGAATCGAAGCCTCCTTCAATGGAGCGCACAGTGCCGTTCCCGCATAGCCATAGCTCCGTGCACACTTGTCTGATGAGTCGCTCGTCATGGGACACCAGCACAACACCACCCTGTTCATTAGAATTTCTTTCATTAATTATCAACTGCCGTCAGACCAACGTAGTGGTCAAAAATATCATAGATACTGCGTTCTAATGATAAGATTAGTCGAATAAATTGTCCTTGTTCATTGTCGTACAAATGGTATTGACTTGAATAATGATAGGCATAGGAAGAAGGAATGAGTGCAAAAAAAACTATCTTTAACTGCAATTTCTAACTGACAAAATGCCAAGATCTTAGAATACAAAGTATTCCAACAACAAACCTTATAGAGCTTGATAGCTTCACCCAGGGCTTCTATAGTTTCTATGTCGAGATGATTGGTGGGCTCGTCCAAGATAAGGAAGCTCGGAGACGCGGCCGCCATTGCTGCAAAAGCGACTCGGCTTTTTTGACCTCCTGTAAATAATATACATCAATAAAAGTCAAGTTTTCAGAAATTATTAGGGTGTGAGACACTCGATAAAATTATCAATATTTAAATCACTCGAGTCACCGAGACTAAAGTCGTCACAATCGTATATCGCAAGCCTCCAATACAAACAATATATGCTGACGATATAAATATTAGAGCAAATTCATACTGAGATGAGCTGACATTGATGAGTACTCAAGAAGTATTGCAAAATCGTCAAACATTAGATAATTACAGAAAAATATAACTGCTTAGGCTAAATAAGAGCATGAAACGTTGAATAATAAATTCAGATTAGTTTACACAATAAAGATAACGTAAAAACAAGATTACAAAGTAACCGTTAAGGCAAAACAAAAAAGCTAACCAGAAAGACTGGCCAGCTGCTGCAGAGCCAAGTCGCCCGAGACGCCAAAACGTCCCAGCTGTCGTCTGTACTCCTCCACGGGCTTGCCGGGGAAGCGCTCTTGCAAAAGACTCACGGCTGACAAGCGTAGGTCAAGCTGGTCTACGTGGTGCTGGGAGAAGTACCCGATGCGTAGTTGTCTGCAACAACCAGCAACTTGGTTACTTCGTACACTTTTGATAGTGTACATGCAGAACATTACACGATACAGGCTATGTTATGCTGCTTATGCACACTCTGAATACTTACATCCAGGATATTATATGATATTGGCTACTTCATACATACTTTGAACGCTTCCATCCAGAATATTACATGATATTGTCTACATCGTAACACTTCTGCACGTTCACATACAGAATGTGGCATAACATAGCATACCTATGAGGCTGAGTTTGAAACTTAAGCAATTATTATATTTCAATGTTCATTACATAACAAGAAATTTAGTTCAGATAATTTTTTTTCACGTTGATAGTTATTACAAAGGAAGCCCATCACCGCGATAAAATTTTAAAAATAAGTTTCCCCCAATTAGTTTTTCTCTACAAACCTGTTGCAGAAACGCTGGCCTTTAGTTGGTGACAGTTCGCCTAATAGAATTTTTAATAAAGTTGTTTTTCCAGCTCCATTGTCACCGACAATGCACGTACGAGAAGTCATCGTCGTCGTGAGATTAACGTCTTGAAATATTGGGGGTCCATCCTTCGAGTACCTGTGACCAAATCGACAGGACGTTCTTCATTCGGCCAAATAAAACGATGATTATGACGGTGAAAGCAGTTCACATTTCTTTTTTTAGCAGTTAACAAAACAATGGTGTTGAGTGGGATTAACCTGAGGCGCAGTTCACAACACTAATAATTATAGCAGTAAACAGACAAGTTAGTTAGTTCAGTGGCCGTAGTTGCTAGCGCTTCAGGTCGAGCTAGTAAACAGACAAAACTATGAGGCATATTTAAAAGCTGCAATTCAAGTTTCTCATCGCGATTACTTAAACACTTAGGTGATACAGTCTTCAGCCCAAAAAGCCTTGATCTGGCAGCTCAGATTCGACAACAAATTTAGGTCATAATCTCAATTGCTACATTATTTTAAGACGTTCGAGATAATACACTGCAATTGAAGTCTTTGTAATATATTTATAAGTTCATTGACCTGAAGGAGACCTCATCGAGTTGTAGGATAGGAGGACTCAATTTATCCACATCGGGGAAACTGAATACCACGACGGACTCCTTCTCCACAGGCTGGAGCTCAGGCCTGCACAAACAGGTTCGTCATAATTCAAGATCAGCGGACAAAAAAGTGAGTCATAATTCAATATCAGAGGACAAACAGGTCAATCATAATTCACTATTAGCAATGCGGACCATCGTTTACATTACTACGATGTTAACTTTTAACACACTGTGAAGCAAACATGGAATATTCAGGTCAAACCACCACCACAGCCAGACATTCTGCTTCTTATTTAATGGCAGTAGAAAATACAATTTGTGAAACGATCAATAGAGAACTTCCTCTACAGGATAAGATGATCAGTACGGAAATAATTATATAATCAACTAGCCATACTTTTACATAGATTTTCGAAGTGAAATCGGTTTAATAAATGTACACAACTTCCATTCTATTATAAATCGTAACCGAAACTCAATATAGTACTGGAAAGACTTACAATTTTTCAAGCATCTTAATTTTACTCTGAACAAGGGAGGCGCGCTTGGCATTGTAGCGGAACTTGTCGATAAACTCTTGCACGTGCGCCCTGAACTGCATCTGGCTGTCGTACTCGCGTTGTTGGTTCTTCTGCCGCTCCGTGCGAGTGTTCAGGAAGTTCTCGTAGTTGCCCCTGCAAGGAAAATAACGTGAGTAAAGCATTCGTGTGCAGTTTAAAATTACGTGCGCTTCTATGAACGTCACTGAAAGTAATCAGAGTGGAGTTTGAGCACGGCAAAGTGATGGTCTTGAGGCTCACCTGTACGACTGGATAGCTCTGGAGTGAAGGTGGAGCACGTCCGTAGGAACAGAGTCGAGGAAGTGTCGGTCGTGGGACACGAGCAGTAAGGTGGTGGGCCAGGTCAGCAGGTAGCCTTCAAGCCATATAATCGCCTTCAGGTCCAACATGTTGGTAGGCTCATCGAGCAGGAGTAGATCGGGTCTAAACACGAATAAATCAAATTTAGTAACAATTAAGCCTACAAAATAACTGAACAATCAATTGAGCCAATGTTTTAACATCCCGTGCTCACTACATCGAAATGAAATTTCGAGTGACGGAGAGGTAGAAGTTAAGATCATTTAGGCATTGTATTAACCCTAGGTGGACAGCATAGGTAGAAATGTACCTACCCTAAGCACGATTGTAACGTCGTAAAATTATGCAGTGTAATGAGGGTTAACGCTTTTCGAGCAAATGACTATCAAATTATGCTCAAGTTTCTCGCGCTTAAAAATGCTTCAAGAGACAACCATTAGGTAAGCCAGTTTGGCCAGGTGCACAAAGCAAGTAAGTTCATTATTTTGAACTTTGTTGTGAAAAAAGGTTCAGCCTCCCTCACCGTGCTATGATGCCACAAGCGTGGATGTCATAAGACGATTTCAATTATTGCAAGAAAAGGTTGCTCACGAATATTAGCAATAAATGGTTGATTTAATGAGCAGATAGAGCATTAATTTAGACTGGCAAATTCTGAACTTCTATGATTTGACAGATTCACTTAGAAAAAAAAAGAGCAGCTCTCGTACACTCACTGAGTAAAGAGAGCTCGGGCGAGGGCTATTCTCATCCGCCAGCCGCCTGAGAACTTCTTGGTCGCTTGTTGCTGCATCTCGCGGGTAAAACCAAGCCCTGAATGACAGGAAGAGTGACATCAGAACCATAATTTATTAATTAGTTGTCACAACTCTTAGTGGCCTCGGCCTTAGGGTACACGTGGAACAGTTGGCCACAATAACGTTCAAGAATTTAAATTTCTATGCAATATTTGACAAAGAGGAATAGAAACGCCACAAGATTGATTTTTTTCACATACTAAATTGCTGTCTTTTTAGTTATGGGATTCACCACCATAAGTTTGGAAGGTTTTTTTCATTATAATATCAACTCTAGAGCAGTTTAGCTTTAATAAGCTTGGACTGAGTAAGCAAATTCATGTATAAACGGAATAAGCAGTGCAGGATTTCCTACATTTTACATCAGTAGAGCTTTATAAGCAATTTCTTACCACAGAGAATAACAGAAGCCTTTGCAGGCGCTTTATCGGCCTCAATAGCCTGCAGCTCAGCATACACTGCAGCCAGGCGCTCACTCAGGGCTTGATCACTGTCCCTGCAACACGCAAAATCTTATAGATACTCGTGCAAAGATACTAAAATTGTAAATTCATGCTAGTAATCAATTATTTCAAGTCAATTATCATCCGTGACTGAATATTAAAACTGTAGATATCAAAACTTTTTTAGCAGAATAAGAAATCTTTTTGCAGAAAAATGCAAATTTTAGGTAGGACGTTTTTGGAGGTGGAGACGCTTGTAAATTTGCTAAAAGGACTATTTCAATATAATAATGTTAAATAAATTATTATACCGGAGATGAAAATTGCAAGATGAAAATTGCAAGATGAAAATTGTGATGCAAGATGAAAATGACGCAAGATGAAAATTGTGATTGTACATAAAAAAAGATAAATTATGGCTTTTTTCACATTTAAGTTTGTACGGTAAGTACCCTCCAGCAATGCGCTGCTGCAGAGCCTTCTCTTCCTGCAGTAGAGCATGACGAACAGTGTCACACTGCAAGACGCTCTCTAGTGCACTCGTGTCGTCAGCTGTCACCTCCTGCTCCACATGCAGCACGGAGATGTGAGATGGAATTCGTAGCACGCCCCTGTAAATGATTTTTATAAAATTGGGCCTTAGAAGCGTGATGCAACCTTAAATTCAATTTTTTTTAAACCTCTTAGTGGGCAATAATGCTTCTTAAAAAAATCAAGTGCCCAACTGCAAGAAAGCACACTTTAACAAAAAATTAAGGGAATCCAATCTTGTAGAAACAATTCATGGTATTTGTGTAACATAAACTGTGGAGACTCACGCTGCAATCATCCTGAGTAGAGTTGTCTTGCCGAGTCCATTGCGACCAATGAGGGCATACCGACGACCAAACGCCAGAGTGATGGTTGAGTTTTGAATGAGTACCCTGAACATTATTCAATAAATATTTCATGAAATTATCAACAAGAGAAGAGACTAGAATAAACTTAACATAAAGAGACTAAACAATTTTGTAAGTAATTAAATAAGAGGCGGCAATTGGTTTCAACTTCTTTTTGTCAGCTTAAACATAGAAATAATTTATGCAAATGAAACTTATAAATAAAATTAATTTTCTGAAAGGATAAACCTAGGGTGGTAAATTAAATGGCATAAAAGAAATATTTAGATTATTCAGTGAAATGTTCTCACCTGTCACCAAAAGCAACATCAAAGTTTTCTATCCTGATGTCCTTGGTGTTGTTACCACCTTTGGCATCGAGTGCTCGATCTTTCCTGCTAATTTCCTGAAACATATATTATAACTGGTATGAATAATCTCAGATTAGAATCGTTATTACTTTGTACATAGAATTTTCCTTCCAAACTAGAGGTAAGTTGGAACATCAATCATAATCCTAGCAAAACTTCAATAGTATTTCTCTGTACATTGTACAAGACACTTCGAGAAGTTTCCTTTCAAACTAGAGGTTAACTGGAACATCTATCATAGTCCAAGGAAAACTTCAATAGTATGTCTCAGTACAAGACACTCCAAGAAGGAGATCAACGGAGAAGTTGATAGCCCAAGTTCAAGTACCTGAGTGGCAGTGGCCATGGTGTTGACAATAGCAGGTGGCTGGTATGACTGCTCATTGCCTCGCTTTTCTCTCTTCTCACGAAGCTTAGCTTCAGCCTTCTCCAATTTCTTTTGGTCTACTTTCTGATGGTTATGGACCACATTATAATTAGGCACACAAATTTTTTTTTTGCAACACTGAATAAAAGCAATGCCTTAGTTTTACAAATAGTACACAAGGTTCTGACACACAATATTACTTTTAGCAACCATAAATATGAGTTGGATATATAGCACATGAGATTTTGACACACAAAATAGTAATTTGCAACACTTAATTTGAGCAAACCTTAGTGGAACAAACTGAAAAAAATTAATTTGAACAAACAGGCTTTTTGAAAGACACCATGTCCCTTGTTGACTATTAGTAGAATTGATAATTATGTAAATTGATAATTCTGTAGCATTGGTAATTATGTAGAATTGATAATTATGTAGAATTGATAATTATGTAGAATTGATCAATCTGTAGAATTAAAAATTATGTAGATTGATAATTAAGTAGAATTGATCAATATGTAGAATTTATAATTCTGTAGAATTGACAATTCTGTAGAATTAATAATTCTGTTGAATTGATAATTATGTTGAATTGATAATTGCGTAGAATTTATAATTCTGTCATTTTGATAATTCAGTAGAATTAATAATTATGAATGAAGGAGAGTTATTCATGTTCATCATACATAAGCTCTCACCATGGAATCATCTCGTTGCTGAATCCAAACACTCTTGACCTCTTCCTGTCTTTCCTGGTCTTCAGCCATCTGGGCAAGCTGGATGGGAGAGGTGAGAAGCATTTTGCTGCCTACGCTGCTTGCACTGTCAGATGTAACACCATTGGTGCTACAGGACATCAAGTCTTCACACAACTTCCTGCAATACAAAATAATTTGATCAAATGACATCACCTACAAAAATCAAGAAATATAATTGAAATAAAGTATGAATGATAGGCTTGATCCTTAAGAAATTCTATGCCGATGTTTGAAGTATGAAAAAATTAGTTCTCAAATTCCACAAAATTGTTGAAACAACTGGTACCAAACTTAGTGCTATTATGCTTACAAAGACATGCATAGATAAAAATTGCAATAAAATATAAAAAGTAGGCATCTATAAGTAATCCATCACTACATTTTACAAGGATTTGTAATCAATACATAATATCTAAAATGAATCACCTTATTTCAGTGTCTTTGTCAGCCCCTACACTCTCCATGAGCAAGCCTCCAATAGCATCATGTAACTCTTGGCCATCAGAAAAATCTCCCAAATTCTCCAGTACACCTAATCAAAGGGAGAGAAGTTTAAGTTTTGACATATAAGATGCAAAAAGTTTTCCTTAAGAAAAAATTTAAGTCAATAGCACCAAAGCTAAATGATATTGAGTAATCAGTCTGAGCTTTAGTTATTGTACTGAATATTTGTCAATAGTATTTTGAGAAATTTTCACACATAATATCAATAACAAATGAGTTGCCATTATACTCAAGTTGTTGGCTGAAATAGAAACCATAAATTGTTTATATAGAAATGTATGAAAATTTTTAAGTTATACATAGAGATAACTGAAGCTTTTTTACACAATTGCAATATATCAAGTGTTGCATACTAGTATTTAAATTGTCTTAGATGAAATGTGGTCAGTAAATTGCAGTTTATAAACAGTATCTTCTATCACTGACAGAAGATACATTTTCAACCAAAATTTCAAATTTCAATCTGTTGAGCAGACTCTAGAGCAGAAGGAATTAGATAAAAAAAGTTACTATTTCAATTGAATAATACTTTTATTACCATCAGGAAGAACTTACCTTCAACATACTGGAATATTTCTTCATCAAGCCCAGGGAACTTTTTCCTAAACACGGAACTTGTACCAGTCATACTTGTAGCTTACTGAAATCAAAATAAATTTTTATTTTTATTACAGACAAAGTTTTGCTTGATTAAATTTTTTGTTGAACACTAGAGAAAGATGTTTATAAAACACTAATCATACTGTAATCTAAATGCAGACACTGTATCAGATATTACCAAGATTGTAGGCAAAGTTGACAACTCTTCAAATTTGGATAAAACAATTGATGCAAATGTATAGTAAAATTAAAAATTTAATTGCCATTGCCAGGTAAATATACCTGGCAATGGCATTTTAGAGTATGAATCAGAACAAGCTATACATAGCAATGTTTTACTAATGTATATTTTGTGATAAATATGAATAATCGCAAAACTGTCATATAATATTTTACATTTTCGAATTTCCACTTATGTTATATAGAATTTGTTTTGCAGGTGCATTTATTTAGCTCCGAGCGTATGATGATTTTGCTGTGAGCTTTGATCAGGTGGTGCCTAGTCTCAAGACTGATGAGGCAAGGCAAGTCAGTCGTGGCTGAATCAGTGAATGGCTTAGTCTTGCACCTGACACGTTGGCCACAGTGAAAAGTCTACGACCATTTTTATTCCAGGAAAATTGTTATTGTTTTATTCCAATTCGAATTATTGTTTTATTTCAATTGTTATTGGAAAAGACCCTCACTTGCCACCTCCAGTCTGCAGGGAAAAGAAACTTAATGAGGGTGGCTCACAACGAGACGAGACCGTCACACGCACGGTGCTGTAGAAATGACAGTAAAATGTATTACTGGAATAGAATTGGATGTGAAATAATGTAAAGAACGTAATAAGAGAGAACGTAATAAGAAAGAATAATGTAAAAACGAAAAAAGTGAGCTATAAGAACCTCGGAGCAAGGAAGGGAAAGAACAGACAGCCACAAGCTGCAGAAGATGAAGAGATGCCCAGGTATGAATGCGTATTTGATGGCAGTATGTCTGGTGACCTGATGTTCTGCGTGAGTACAAATGACTCAAGTTTGAATACACGGACATAAAGGTGGAATAAAATTAGAGCAGATATTTGTTTTATGTGTGACAGAGGCGAGAAAGAAGCTGCGGAGCACTTGATGATGGAGTGTGATGTATAGGAGAGAGAACGACTGAAAATTGTGAGAGTGATACTGGGTGAGAGTGATGGTGTGATGTACGAGAGAACGGGAGATGAACTGATTGCAATGATAGTCGGTTTGTCAACATGGGTGACTGCTTCCATGACTGAGAGTGTAAAACGATATTTGTAGAGCGCATGGAGAATGAAGGGAAAGGGGAGGTTGGTGGGAATGGAGGCTGGAAGGGTATAAAGAATCAAGCAGAAATAAAAAAATAATAACAGTAACAATATCAATATAAAACAAGGAACTATTTACGGCTCCTAATATCAAATTCCAGTTTCAAACACTCAAGTTCATAGCATGATAGACCAAATATCTCTAATGTTGAACTTTATTTCCCTCAGCTTCCATTTCATCTCAACACGAACTTCCCCACCCCTCTAGCCTCTGCTCTAATATCGCTCCCACCTGAATTTTTTCCACTTCTTCTGCCAAAAAAAAAACTAATATGTGCTGCTTGACAGCTAGCCGAGTAAATGTCTTTTTCAGGGTCAACACGACCCAAATCAAAAATCAAATTCCACTAGCATCATAGCCATGCGATGCCCCGACGTAAGTCGACCAATATCTGAAGCCCACAGGAATATTTCTCAGATTATTAATGACGTAAACGTAAACAAGTATAAGTGACAGTAGTAGCAATTGCTTGTCATTTTTCCAATTTCTGAAGTAAATTTGAGAAAACAATTTTGTTCCTTGTGAGGTTAGTCTCCTGAAAATTGTAGGCTTAAATGAGAAACGAAAACATTAATAGCAGATCTCGTCTAGCCGAAGAGGTCCTTACACAAGCAGATTAATCCTCTTATAGACTGTAGAAGCAATATGTTCAGGTTTATCGCTAATCCTTATGATGTTCATCACAGAAGCTGGTCGAGCTGGACCTTGAAACTATCGAAGCAAATGCTTACATATGCGTTTGGTCAACGGCGCACTTATAGCACAGAGTTTAGGAATTAAATGTCGGCAAACATAAATATCACAATTTGAATCAATTATTGTCACTTATCATAATTTTTTGTTATGAAAGTATACCGCAACAGCTAATAAGGTATGGTAAGCAGCTATTTTTGTTGTCTTTGCCCTGTTACGTATTGGTCTGCTCAGGTGATAGGTCAATTTGCAAGACATTTACCGTCCGTTATCTTCCTGAGATACTAACGCCGCTCATTTCTTGGCAGTTTTAAAAGCTTCCAACTTCTTTTCATTGGATTAAGATCATTTGCGACTCATTTGTTATTTGGCTGTTTAACTTGAGAATATTTGTTACGACACAGTTGTGCATCCTCAGCACGGTCCGTTTTATGCGCTAAATACGAATAATAATAAACCATTTCAACAAGTCTGCTGCAATACCAATGTTGCAAACAAAAAATGTTAAACTGATCCAATAAATAGATCAATCGTGTTGAAATTGTTCAACTGGAAGTTGCAATCGCCTAATTCCTGAAATTGTCAGTTGTCTGCCGCAGCTGACGTGCTGCGGGACCCGACTGACAGGCCACAGTGTAACGCGGAGCCATGCCTCAGTATCGCAATGAAAACTTGGATGTGAGGTTGTTGGTGCTGCGTTCAGCAAAATTTGTGACCATTTTTGGTGCTAGATAGATTCTTTTGGCGTAAAAGTAAGTCAAGTACAACAAGCAAGCTAATTTTATTATAAGGTATTTATTTTGTACCTTATGTTTCGTTCCAGTATGAGAAAAATCATTTGACACCTGTGAGAATTTAACCTTGATTAGTGATAGGAGTTCGTTCTTGTAGTGTTTGGAATCAATTGAACTTTGATCCAGTATCTCGTGGTAAGATGCATGTGTTTCTTTCCATATAAGTTCTTCTACCTGTAGTCTTACGTAATTGTAATGTGTGCTTAAGTTAAGGAATTTCCAGGACAACTTTTTACATTGTCATTTGTGAACTTCCATCTCCGCAGCGGCTGCGGTACCTCCCGATTGCAACTAGTCTTTAGACTCGACTGAGGGATAGAATTGGAATGGAAGGAGGAAAGTCATTCTACGATACTACTAGTGTTGTGTTCATTAAAAGACCTAATTATTCTTCTATTTTATCACGATCAGTTTTTTATCACCATCAGTTCGACTATGATCAGTTTTGAAGGAAAAGCTCCAAAAGAAAGTTACTTGCGAAACCTTTTTCGAGTATCGGAAATAATAAGTGATGATTCTATTGACATGATAATGGTAGTTGTAATGAACGAATAGCGGGGCATGTACTGTAATGAAGTATTACAGCACGCATTCTAATCATCGACAGGATATGTGATATGTCGATTGTTGTAATCAACGATCACGTCTAGATTCATGATTTCCTGACCCAGTCAAGAAATGCAAAAAAAGCCTTGCTGAATAAAGCATCAAACTATCAAAATAGAAACCTAGCCAAGTCAAGTATCGTGTGATTCATGCGATTCTAGCCAGTTGTTAAAAATAACGAAGATCGTCGTTATAAAAATACCTAACGAAGTTGTTAAAAATAACTAGAAGATCGTCAGGTTAATAAGTTTAGGATTAAACTTGATTAATATTTCACTGAAACTTGATTTCGCGATTCTGAGATGAAATATGTAACGTGTGCTGTTCACTGTGTTACGCAGTCACTACATTCGTAATCACCGCTGCCATCACACTCATAGTCACCGCAGTCACAGCACCCATAGTCACAGCACCCATAGTCACAGCANACCGTTCAAGGCTAGAGCGGAAAAAGTTCCTGCATCCTGACACACTGCCGGCGTTGCTGCACGCGAGTGGCTAATATGGACCGGGAGCGACAGCGCTGACGTTACCAAGGGATCGTCGTCCAGACCTGTTGATAATTAGAAGCTAATTACCGATGAAGCACTTCAAATAATTGGGTTTTGAAATTCAGGGTGAAATTTTAGGTGGAACTAGAAATTTAGGGGGGAATTCTACGTGGAACCTGAAATTCAGGCTGAAGTTTGCTGTGGAACATTGCTGACTATTTCTATTTATTTACTTTGGTCTCTGTACAATGTACATTATTTTTTATTTAGTTATATCAGCTTGTTGAAACATGAGAACCAGTTAGAGTGAATATGAAGCCCTTTTTCATTTATAGGCACCAGCAACACCAAACAACTATAGGTGACACTGTTGTGACAGTGTCACCTATAGTTGTTTGGTGTTGCTGGTGCCTATAAATGAAAAAGGGCTTCATATTCACTCTAACTGGTTCTCATGTTCCAACAAGTTGATATAACTAAATAAATAAATAGATGTACATTGTACAGAGACCAAAGTAGCTAAATAGATATACCTACATAAGTTAAGATAAATCTTTTATTACGAAATCTTCTGTGTCTCTCACATCGCATGCACAGTTCTAGAATTGCACCGCCACTTGAACTCAGGATCATCGTATTACTTACGATCTTCGCCACTATAAAAATCTTTGTTACTATAACAATACTTAAGTATAACAGCTTATGTTGAAATATAGATCGTCGGGGAAGCTGTTCGTTAAATTACTGATTTTTTTTGACAATTTGAGCAATGTCGCCGGCTCTGGTGAAGAGTCGAGTTGTGGTTTATCGACTTTGTGATTGGCCGGGCTCGTTGAAAAATTTAATTGTGATCGGATGACTTCATCATATAAAATTTTCAATTGGCTTGGTTAATCGAAGATTTTAACATTTATGAATCAGCTTCATTGTAGCATTAGCCAGCTTTTACCAGACTTCGTTTAGGACATCGGCTAGGATTGTTGAAGGCTCAGTTGAACGCTTTAGCACTTATTGGCTGGCTTTGTTGAAGGCTTTAGCACTTATTGGCTGGCTTTGTGTAAGGCTTTAGCACTTATTGGCTGGCTTTGTGTAAGGCTTTAGCACTTATTGGCTAGCTTTGTGTAAGGCTTTAGCACTTATTGGCTGGCTTTGNTACGTACCAACGTAACAGACGCACGGACTACGTACCAACGTAACAGACGCACGGACTACGTACCAACGTAACAGACGCA